ATGAGCTCACTAACGTCTATCTTTAATAGCGCAAGTACCATCTTTACAATGGACCTTTGGAGGCGCATGCGCCCAACAGCACGACAAAGGGAACTTTTGATTGTTGGGAGGTATTCGATGATATTACAAATATAAGTTAGAATTAAATCTCAATCTTTAACAAATATCTGTATCAGCATATTTTATTCCAGAGAATTAGATTTGAAAGAAACTTCTTGTATCTTGCATCTTTGATCAGCAATTGTGTGTTTATTAAACATGGCAAAAATCACGTCAACAGATTTAACTAATCATCAGAAATAATTAATAACAAGTAAGGAAGATAATACTATGATGCTTTTTCAGAATCTTTATCGTTGCTCTGTGTGTAGTAAGCATTCTGTGGATACCACAAGTGAGGTCTTCACAAGGGGGACAACTCTTTGCTTATATCAATGCAGTACAGTCTTATCTCGGAACACCCATTGGAGCACTGTTTTTTCTGGCCGTTGCTTGGAAACGAATGACTGAACAGGTATACAATTTTTAGTTGTTAAACTTACTTTCCTGTGCATTGCATTTGAATACAATAAAACCATTTGACGATCAATTTAGTTGTTGCATATTTTCTCCATAGGGGGCTTTCTGGGGGATAGCTATTGGTCACATGTGTGGGATCATCAGACTAGGTCTGGATATGGCCTACCCGGCGCCTGGTTGTGGTGAAGAAGACACGCGACCTTCAGTTCTCGCCAATCTTCATTACACGTACTTTGGGGCTCTAATGATAGTTATCACGTCACTATCCATTGTCATCATAAGCCTCCTCACAGAGGCACAAACAGAGGAACAAGTATTTAAAACCATACATTATTCAACGTACAATATACACGAATGTTAGAATATTTCAGCATGAAAGTACATCACAGATTTACAACTTTTTCATCTTGTTTAGATTAAAGACCTGACATGGAAAACTCGAATAACAACAGAGAAGAACAAAGAAGAAAGCGATAACGAAATGTTCACCGTAAACTCGGCAATCTCTGTAGAGAAAACAAACGGTAAAATAAAACATATTTTACAGCCGTCAAATGTTCGCCGTAGTTAACTCGACAATCTCTTAAGAAAAAAAAACTAACTTGAAATTAGACATACCGGTATTTTACAGCCGTCAAATGTTCGCCGTAAACTCGGCTATCTCTGTAGAAAAAACAAACGGTAAAGTTAGACATATTTTACAGCCTTCAAATGCTCTCCGTAAACTGAACAATCTCTGTAGAAAAACCAAACGGTAAAGCTAGATATAGATTATTCTGAAAATATAGGAGAATTGTTTGGTAATTTTGTGATTTTATTTTCCATTTTAGCATCAAATGAAAGTCTCCCGGCCGTTTCTGAGACTTCCCCCGACTCTCGCACTCTGTGGAAGCGCTGGGTAACGGAAATCTGCGGACAGTCATCCAAGAAAGACGCAAATGAGGACCTGGTTTTTGACGACAAGCAAACAAATGCATTCCTCTCTGAGAATCCAAAATGGAGGTCTACTCTGAATATCATATTTATCTTAGGAATGGTGGTGACTGGCTTCCTATACGGCTTTTTCAATTGAACATTAACCTCATTACATGTAGTATATTGCACTTAATAAACAAAAAATATTCTATTGTTTTCTCATATAGATATTATATGTTTAGAAGATAAAATCATACATTGTTGATCAGTTTCACTGTTGTCCCTGAATTTACAACAACGAATGGGAAAATGTTTACCGAGATCGTGTAAGACCAGACACATCAGCTTTTAGCGTATGTGCTATGTACTATTAACAGGTAAACTAGACGACTTCTGAAATAATTTATGCACTGTGTATAACATAATTTTACGATTCTTCAGAAATATGAATTGTGCTTTCATTATGACAAGAAAGGACAACCATAATTTAAGGAATGTATAAAAACGAAAAACTATATTTAAAATCTGTATAACATGTCTGATGACAAAGATTAATGATCACCATCTGTTTAAATTCTGAGGTCAAAAAAATTCCTCTACATAAATATGATTAACCCCAGGCACATGAACAATTTAACAGAGCTATATTTACAGAGCAAGTTACAAAGTTTGTTTTAGCTGGAAATGTATACAATTTTCATATTTATAAAAAATTTGAAGAAACTAGAAGGGTCTTAAGATGTTCTTAAGATACCGTCAAGTTTCGTCTTATTAATAGTATCCTACATTGTTCTTAGGACGTTCTTTATCTCCTTCCTTAGTCATATCTTAAGAGCAATCGTAGGATATATCTTAGGAAAGTTTTGTGAATATGCCTGCTGGTCCTCAAGTTAATTTTTTTTTGATTATGTGTGGATATAGAAAATGCTCTCAATCCTCTAAGAATGTTTAAATACCTAAACCCTACTATGCACCAATGTGGCAACGCACTTTAAAGGCAGAGATTTTTTACGAGTGGTAAATTCCAGGTGAGGGAGGGGCTTATTTTGTACAAGTGTGAATACCTTTATATGTATCAGTCGAAAAAGATATATTTAAAAACGGCTTGTAGAGACAAAAGGGTTATATTAACGATGCAAAGTAGTGCATATTAGACTACCAAAATAGTAAAAAGGTGTTTCAACCCTATATGAAAGGGGGGTCCAGCCCCCAAATTCCTGTTTTTTCGTGAGCTTCGCAGTATCAGTAATTCTTAGAGTTGTTGAGAGCAGTTCTGGTCGATACAATGACATTTTCAGGAAATACAATTTATCAATGAGTCAAATGCTGACTGACCAGAACATTCGAAATGATGACGATTGCAAAGTTAAAATCACCACGAGCTTGGTTGTTAGATTACCATTAACGTCTTTTTCTGGTAAAGTATCAAAATGTGATGATGTGTCAGAGACTCTGTCGTATCAATCTCACTTAGATATATTGTGTCGAGATATGAATGTTTTCTTCTTTTCATGCAAAAGATTTTAAACTAATTCTGGTTCATTTGAATACAAAAATAGGTCTTCTGATACGAGGACGCAATTGGTACCCATGGACATTCCAACCGTTGTAAGGCTGCATTTTCTATGCAGTGGGCCTACGTGACCTGCGACGTAAAAATCAACTGCTAAATCCACGACTCTAGAGCAAACCTCTAAACACTGTGCCAGGCGGGCCAAAATGAATTTTCATGCTTATACTCAAACCTCCGGAAAAAAATCTTTAATCAAATTTCTAGGTAAAACAAATTTTCTATAACAAAAATATTAACGGCTGTGAAGTAGAAAAATCAGGTGTGTTTACTGTACGACAACATATTCGAAACGTGTTCATCAAACGTTACCTCCAAGATTCAAAAGAATTAGAAATTTTGAAATCATATAATTTTGCCAAAGTCTTAGTCTCAAAATGTAGTAAGAGTTTACAATATTTACTGTGTTCAATATCCACTGATGATCACTTAACACTCTGAAGAAAAATATGAGATAACAATAAAGTCTTTTGAACTCATTAATTATTTTATATCGCTTGGCTCCTTGTTTCCTTACTGTTCAAAAAGCATCAGTTAATTCCTCTGGTTTTTATTTATTTATTTATTTTTAAATGTTTGCAACAGTGAGTCCCTACCAGTCAAAGTTGATTTTTATCCTCGTCCTCCTAACATTGAATGAAAGGTGTTACATCGACACACACGCAAAAAAATTTAATTTTGAACACGCACTAAATGCACATGTATATCACGCAAAGATATTCCTTGCAGCTTTCTCAAGCGATGAGGATTCTAATATTACATATATTATGTGACATATTTTGTCTTTATCTGAAATCCTTTTTCAAATATACATGTATTACTAATAATGAGGACTATTTCATAGTCACTCATCTCTTTCAAATCTTAATTATGTTACAAATATTGATTTCTATTTTCTTTTGCCAATATTTTTATTAATTAGTTATACATAATAGTTTACTTAAAACTTTTATACCAGTTCTTTAAACTGTTAAAATTGAGATATTTCTATCGTTTAACATAAAATCCTTTGAATAGAGCACTACAGAAATTACAGATGGGAGATTTCTGTTGAAAATATCTTTAAAAATCTTCTTCTGAAGAACAGCTAAGCCAGTAGTAGTCATATTAATATAGAAGTATCCTTAGGTAGTGTAAATTAAGGTTTGTCCAAATCATGACGCCATGGCGGTTCAAAGTTTTACATTGTAATCTATAGGTGTAATGGTTACGGACATCGTCGAAAACCACGGGTGATCTCGTCTTTACCTGGATCACCCGTGGGTTTCCAACAATTAATGGGTTACGGGGCATTTGCGTAAAACACGGTCAAGTGAATATTTGAGTATTGTGTGATTTACTCTCAGATGGAGCTTTGTTAGTAATCATTACAATCATTAACTCGGACAGAGTAAAACTAAAACCTACCTTTCCCTTGTAAGAACCTGATCATACATGTTACATAGGAAATATCATTAAAAAACTTTTCAGGACAACCAATTCATTATGTTGATACAGAAAACAATTTAGGTATTTTCTAATTATAAACCCCGGGTGTTGAGGGTTTTGGGCACAACAGAGGGTCAAAATTTTGCATAAAAATATGTAGGAATCATCTTGAAAAAAATTTCAAGGTTATATATATATATATATATATATATATATATATATATATATATATATATATATATTGTCAGACAAAATCTTTCTTTGGGTACCATTCTTTTTTTTTACCTTTGACCTTCATGGCTGACTTACTTTGTCCACACTTTAGAATGGATGAAGCCAGAGCTTTCTCATTTCAAAGGTGTTTTTTATGACAAGGCCTTTCTTTGTGTATCATTATTCTTTATCTTTTGACATTGACTTTGCAATTTGATTTGCATTTAAAAAACTTACCATACGAGGGTCATCAGTGTTTCACAAACACATCGTTTTTTCAAATTGTTTTAAAATATTCTTTACGGGCGAAAACTTTGTACAAATTAAAATATTTTTACAGATTATATTCTTCAATATGATTTCTTTGATCCTCGTCGTATTGGAAACAGTTCTAAAAGAAGTTTTGACTGTCCCATCAGGGGGAACTGTGTATACTCGCTGGGGTCGCAAAGATTGTCCCAGCAGTGCAAAATTAGTCTACTCAGGTAGGATATAAATGTACAAGAATACGATATTTATGTAGTATGTTATGAATTTGCTTAAGCTCATAGGAGTAAGATAATTCCAGATAAAAGTTAATTAAAGATAATGTAACATTGATATATATTATTGTGTTAGGTATACACAAGACATATATTCTTTTCGAAGGATATGCTGGAGTAGAACCACTTTGTTTACCAAGAGACCCACAGTGGGAAGGCTACAGCAGATATAACCCCTTTAGAGGGAGTGTGTTTGGGGCTGAATACCAAGTTGATAATAGTGATATCATAAACTCTAAATTGCATGACCACGATGTACCATGTGCCGTTTGTGAGATTGTCAGTGGATCACCCGTCATCGTAATTCCGGGTAAGTAATTCAAGAAGCTGTTTCAAACATATCTGGCTTAGTTGCTCAAATCACAATTACACGTTTACTGTTTCCATCAAAAGTAACATGTAGCAATTCTCCACATAGCAAAATTATACAATATCATTTCTTCATATTTTTCAAGTTTAAATTCAATTCTTCAAATTTTAAAAACATTAAGTAAGACTATCAAGCTACAAAACATAAGGGCGTATTGTGATAGATATACTGTACTGCGATTTAATTATTCCTGTTTTTATCTATATTTATTTACTTCTTGGGGGGGGGGGGGTAACAGAGTAGCCTCATCCTTGGACAATAAATTCTTATATCAACTGTCAAAAAATTGACGTCAAGTGAGATCTTTATGGATATTCACTATAAATAGTGGCTAAGATACATAAGTACCTGTATTTAAATCTATTGAATAAAAAGCACCAAATAATTAAAGTATCAACGAGGACACATCAATAATGAAGTAGAGCTTTGATGTATTCCTGTGAGCATGTAATTGAATTTAAATATTTACATCTCTTTGGGCCTTTTGGATATTGGTGATCAGAATACAGTTATTTTTTTCTTTTTAACTTCAAGCAAGAATACGCTGCTACCCCGGTTTGAAAAAAAAGTATGGTGGATACCTCATGGCAGGATATTGGAATCATAAAGCCGGCTCCACCTACTCCTGCGTGGATAAATATCCTCAGGCTCTGCATGGGGGATACCAAAATCATGATGGTAAACTGTTCTACCCAGTGGAAGCTTGGTGTGGTACCTTACCATGTCCTTCCTACAGAAATGAATGGGAGTTTACCTGTGTCGTTTGTTCCAAAAAATAGCATCAAAACACGTTACCATCTTCAACATTCTTTACAAAGCATCTTAGGGAAAAGCTAGTCAAGGCAGTGCCATGATTCGGAGAGAGGTAGGCGGAATGACTTAGTAGTAAAGTGACTGTTTGACTCTCGTTATTATGCCCCCGTAGTCAAAGATTCGGGAGTATATAGTTTTTGTCGTGTCCGCCCGTCTGTTTGTCCGCAAAAACTTTAATCTTGCCTAAAACTTTTGATTTAGTGGAGCTATAACTTTCATATTTTACTTGTGTATTCCTTGTTACAAGACCTTTTTTGGTACCACCAAATTTGACCTTTTAACTTTAACCTTGGCGTTTGACCCATTTTTTCACAAAAATTCAAACTTTTACTTTGGTCATAACTTTTGAATGGTAGATACTACGACTTTCATGCTTCACATAGGTATTTCTTTTGGCAAGATCTTTTATTGGATCCCAACAACTTTAATCCTTTGACCTTGACCTTGGAGATTTCTGTACTTACATATACGGAAACACTTTAACCTTGGCAATAACCTCTGGACGGTAAGAGCTAGGCTTTAATATTTCACATATGTAATTGTTGTGAAAAGACCTTTTATTTGATATCAAAACTTTGACCCTTTGAAAGTATCATTAAATTTTATTCATTGGTACAAGAGGAATTGCGGATAGGAGATGAGTACCCTTCAATATCATAGATTAGAAAGAATTGCCGTGTCCATGTTTTGCTCTGAGAAACCCAAAATTTGTCTCCGATCAAAAAATAAAATGGGAGGTACACAACTGCACTTTATTATAAAGAATCTGTAGAAGTTTCAATAAATTTCAGTCAGATGTATAAAGGAAGTTGCGGATAAGAGATGGGTACCCCAAAGCGTAACAGACGGACAGACGTACAGGCAGACAAATGGACTGACATCCCCATCACTATATACCCTCCTACTTTTCAAGTGGGGGGTTAAAATGTAACTTAAAATTGTGTCTTAGTTTGAATGACTTGTTTTATATCAATTTTTAGACCCTTTTATGCTGAATTGATTGAGGAAGGTTCCGTTTACCTTATCATTACATAGGGCCCACGGCGAGTGTGACTTGTCAAGAGGGGATGGTTACTCCTCCTATGCATCTAACCCTACCTCTAAAATTTCCAGGGGTGTGTGTTTATGTCTACTTCACAGCTTTGTATTTTTTTTAAATATAAATTTTTAAGATATATCACCCTTCATAATTTTCAATCGTAGGATACCAAGGAGGGTACCCACGAGTGATCTTGTCTTAAAAGACGTGGATATTCAAAAATTCCAAAGAACTTTTGGACAATTTGAAATCACAAGATTTTACAAAAATCAACAGATTAAAAAATTACGACTTTTCAACTTTATACACAACCATTCCCCACAATAAATTCAAGTCCATGCTTTTTGATATCGTTGACAGCTGTTTTTTCAATAAAAATGAACTCGTAAATTTACTTACCTGGTCATCGGTCATTTGCAAATCGTTTTGTTAAACACATTCTGATTGCACACACAAGTACTCTGAAATTGACATCAAAAAGATGCTCGAGTATCTGATTGACAATATCTATGTGATTTTTGGAGACCAGGTATTCATATGAAGCAGAATTTGTGCAAAATCTTATGCTTGAAAAGAAGAAAACACTTGTTGTGGTCTTCTACTCAATATTTAGATATATCGACGACGTATTGTCAATTAACAATGGTTATTTCCATTCCTAGTCGATACGATATATCCTGATGAGTTTGATATAAAAGAGACCACAGAGTCTGACAAATTTGTTTCAGACTTGGATATTTTACTTGAAAAAGACGTTAATGGTACATGTTATGTAACAACCAAGCTCTATGATAAACGTGATGACTTTAATTTTTCTATCGTCAACCTCCCTACTTATGCAGCATTATACCTTCATCATCTGCATACGACGTTTATATATCTCAGTTGATTCAATACGCAAGAGCATGCTCAACGTATGAACAATTTCTTAAACAACGTAAATTATTGTCAAACAAGTTAATAAAACAAGAATATCAGCAGTATCGTTTAAAGTCATCATTTCGCAAGTTCTTTGGTCGATACAGTAACCTTGTCAGCAAATACACTTTATCATTGAGTCAAATGCTCACTGACGTTTTTTCATACTAACTGTTAGTCCATTATTATTATACCCCCCGCTTGAAAAGCGGAAGGTATATAGTAATCGTTAATTCCGTTCGTCCGTCTGTTACGCTTTGGGGTACCCATCTCTTATCCGCAACTCCTCTCATACCACAGACTGAAATTTGATGAAACTTTCACAGAATCTTTATTACATATTGCCATTGTGCACCTCCTATTTTACTTTTTGATCCGACATATATTTTGGGTTTCCCGGCCACAGCAAAACATGGACTTTGCCATTATAACTATATGGCAATCGTAACTACTCGGCCATTTCCGTGAACGATAAATATTATTTCTCTTTCGGAAAATGGCCGAGTAGTTACGAATGAACTATATGGAGGCGGGGGGTATCATTTAGTGAGCTCATCGCTCACAGTACCTCTAGTTTACACCTGAATTGACGACGGATTTTCCGTTATTTCCCGATTAACAATGAGCACACGGAGGGTGTGACCGGTCAGCAGGGGATGCTCACTCCTCCATGGCACCTGATCCCATATCCGATGTTTTGGAGGTCCGTGTTTGACCTGCTATTTTTTATTGTTTTATGGACTTTGATATTGAATACTGTTCGTTTGCTCCATATCCTTCATGCATTTATGAATTTTCAATGTACGTTTACTCATTCCTCCTTTCCATACTATACTAGTATCAACTTCATAGTTGTTGTGTGTATAAAAGGATTGGTTTAACAGACTAATTTAGGAAATGGTCACTGACATAATGAGTAAATTTACAAGGTCTATTTTCAATGAAAAGACAGCTATGATGTCAAAAGCCTGAGACTTTAAATTTATCGTCAGATTGGTTACCGGTATATAAAGTTTTGAAAAGTCGTACGTTTTGATGATTTTTGTAAAATTGTGTAATTTCATGTTACTTTTAAATATCCACATCTAATTTATACCACTCCTCGAATGTATTATTGTACAGTACTCCTAAAGTTTCTCCTTCACTGCTTTAAGCATTATAATGAGGAGTAAAGAAAGAGGCTTGATAGAACATTTACTGGAAGCCGCTATATACTGTAGCATTTATCATGTTTATGTCTCTAATGATTTTATGAAGCACATTCATTATAACCCCCGCTTGAATAGTGGGAGGGTATATAGTAATCGGTATTTCCGTCCGTCCGTCTGTTACGCTTTGGGGTACCCATCTCTTATCCGCAACTCCTCTTCTACTACTGAGTGAAATTTAATGAAACTTTCACAGAAACTTTATTAAATATTGCCATTGTGCACCTCCTATTTTACTTTTTTATTCGACACGTATTTTAGGTTTCCCGTAGCAAAACATGGACATTGCCATTATATCCTTACCTATGACGTAACATATAGAAGCTTCTGGATAACATTTGATAAGACGAGTTATTCCTGTTTACACATTACTGTAAAACAATATATAGCAAAACATGGACATTATGGGAGGCTAAAATAAGTGATTTAAGGTTTTAATTATAAACTGATTTTTCAATTTCTTATTCATTTTTATCTGTTTCGTACCATGCGTTTAATATTACAGATTTTCTTTATGCAATCTATTTATGAATTTGTTAAATTTCCATCACAATACAATTTAACCATATATTTGAATAACTAAAACATCCAAGTATTTTTGTGGCAGATTTCATTGGTTAAAATTGTCCTCGAGAGGTCAATAAGGTGAGAAAATTATAGATTGAAGCCGGACAATTAATAGTTTATATGTATTCAAACTTTCGGCTTAGGTGCGCTAAATGAATTAGTTTTTTTCTGAGGAAGAGCAAAACCATATAATGATAAATATGCAAACATTTATATGATTGCTTAATTCCCAAATTATTTAATACCCAGGAATTAGACCAACATAGTGGATTACATTTTGGATACTGTTCGTTTTCTCCATATCCTTCATTGTTGCCCAGGGACCACTTGTTCTTCGACAAGACGAATCCAGCATAGAGAAATCTCAATTTTGAAATCATGTAACGGTGAAATACTTTTATGAAAAATGACATTTTTAAGCATATTAAATAAAATATCAAGTAAATCATCGTATTTGTTGAGTAAAATGAAGATAAAACTTAGATAGAACAGAGAAGACAGTGTGAAATTACGATTCTAAAATCGACTTCACTCAGAAATGATGACTTTCTCATGAATATCACGATGTGTTAGCCAGAGATTTTACATTTTGTCCGTCTGTCTGATCACATGAATCGTTCTTCTCCTGAATTTCCTTGTCTGGCTGTCCAGTAGGTTTTTCTGTCTGCATAATCTGGATTAAAAGAAATGAAAAGTAAGTATTTCAGGGAACAATCAAACTTAAAATGCCTCATTTAAGTTGAGGCGAACCATTATTCTTAAGGGTAAAACATGAGGAAAAGAAGGTGGGGGATAGGGCGGAGGAAGTGCCTATAGTGCGACAAACATGAAGCGAAAAATTAATAAAATCTCAATTATATCCAATTTTTCATATTTCATCTAACATTAAAGTATAATTAATGTAAAATCTTTTTAATTTACAAAAATCTCACAAAGAAATTATTTGCCTAAGAAAAAGCACACACACACTAAAAAGAACAAAAAAGACCACTTTCTCATACTTTTTTTTTCAATATGAGTGGATCTTCGCTCCATTTTTTTTTTTTTTGAAAGATAATCCTAAGCTTTTGCAATAAAATATACCTTTTGGGTTTACAAAAACATGGACCAAAACACACTTTACCTTAAAAGTACACTTTTGTGACATTACATTCGCATACAATGTATTTCCGAGACATACTTCGTCCATTATGTCAAGGGTCATAATACAAACATGATTTAATGCCCCAAAATATCATTAGCCATGTAGCGTATAGTGGTTAGCGCGTTAGTCTCAAAGCAATATGATACCCCGGATTTTTTTATTGTTTAGAGGTCGAATCTCTCGAATATCATCTGATATTTTTATAAAATAATAATTTTTTCCGATATTTTTTTTTCTTGCAGAAAAGGTTTGTTTCTCATAATTTCATAAATTTCAACAATGAAAACATAATTTAAATACTCAATTCACAAACTGAATATGATTTCTTACTATCTGAAGTTATAGGCATTCCTCCACCTTCTTACCAAATCTCCAATACAATTTCAATTTCAATTCTTTATTGCAAAAGACATACGTCTTATAGCATTTATACAATATGAACAAAAGAAATAAAGGAAATAATGGCTGGACAGTCTTGTAAACCCTTATGAAACATGCACATATATACATATAAACTCATTTTAACAGTCTTTACAGTTCATATGGAGAATGACATGTAATAAAGCAGATATAATCATATCAATCATATAATAATATATAGGAGTAACAAATCAGCAAATGACACACCATTACATTATTAAATCATTTCTAAGCGCGAGGGCTTTATAGATAAACTTCCCTAAATTACATAGTTCTTTTACATTATTCACACTTAGCAACTGTATTAATTTGTACATAGATGGCCTATACCAATAATATTTTTTCAAAAACTTTGTCCGCAATGTTGAATAAATTGGGCAAACAAGTAAAAAATGGTATTCATCTTCAATTTCTGTAGTACATATTTTACAGAATCTTTTGTCTCTTGTTATATTTTTATGCCTACCAGTTTCAATGAACAGATTATGCGAAGACAACCTCATTTTAGAAATACATTTTTTGTACACCTTTGGTATCGATTTTTCTAAATAATATTGCAAGCAAAAATTGTCAATTAAATGTTTATAAATATAACATTTTGATTCTATTTGCATTTTGCTATATAGGGTCTGTATAAAGTGATCATTGAGTCTTTGACGAATGATTGGCAGACAGATCCGACTATTCAAATTCCTTTGTTCGTTCCACATATACCCAAGGCCCAAACAATGTAATTGCTCCTTGATAAATTTTGCCCAACTTTGATAATTTTGCTTATCATTTTCACAACTACAATAAGACCAATCATAAGCAGCTCTTAATATACAATTTTCAGACTGTAATAATTTAAACCAGAATTTAAACATTCGATAAATACGAATAAGGTACATGGGTAGACGGCCTGTCTCAAAGTACAACATGGACGTGTTTGTAGTTTTACGAACACCTAGTACATATCGTATAAACTCAAGATGAACCTTTTCAATGTCTTGGCCTTTGTGGGATCCCCAAACTTCACATCCATAGTTTAAGATACTACACACAAAGGTATCAAAAATGGAAAACAAAGTACAATGATTTAAATAAAGCTGCTTCATTGTTGATTTAAGAGCGAACATAGCCTTGCGACCTTGTGCCGCTAATTGTTTTTGGGCATTAAGGAATTTACAGTTATAGTTAAGCACAATGCCTAAATAGACAAACTGGTCCACTATTTCTATATTTTCACCATTATAAGTCCATTTTTCATTTGCGCGGACTTTCCCACCATTTCTAAAAACAACAACTTTAGTTTTTGATGCATTTACATCTAGACCCCACTCGTGCGTATATATTTCTAGTGTATTTAACATGCTCTGTAATTCATCAATTGATTCTGAAAACAATACCATATCATCTGCATACATTAAAAGAAAAAGGCTTAATAGCTGCAAATCAGTAGGCGTGTTACCCTGCTTTATGAACTCATTCTCAAGATCATTAACATATAATACAAACAGCATGGGCGATAAAACTTCCCCTTGTAAAAGACCAACATGACTTTCAAAAAAATTTGATATACGATCAGAGGATTTTACACAGCTTCTAATTCTAGAATACATGGAACGAATAATTGTAAGAAGTTTCCCTTGTATACCATAATACTTCAGTTTTCTATGTAATTTTTCCCTAATGATGGAGTCAAAAGCCTTCTTATAATCAACAAAACAACAATAAAACCGTTTTTTAGTTTGGATTGCTTTTGATACAAGACAATGTAGAGCAAATATTGCTTCTGTAGTACCTAACATAGGTTGAAAACCAAACTGTGCATCTGTAATAACACTATTAGATGATGCCCATAATATAAGCCTTCTATTCAGTATTGAGGTGAACAATTTACAAAAGCAACTAATAAGACTTATACCTCGATAATTATTGGGATCGTCTGGATTACCCTTCTTAAAAACTGGCACAATAATTGCATCAGACCATTGTGTTGGAAAATAACCAGATATTAATATACGATTAAAAATAATATGCAAACATGGTAAAAAAATATCCTTGAATTCTATAAAGTATTCATTCAAGATATAATCAAGGCCATGAGATTTTTCTCGTTTAAGACAATCTATAGCGTCCGATATTTCTTTTTCAGTGATTTCAGTATCTAATTCTTCAAACACGGTATTTCCTGTGTCAACGGGGGATTCGTTATCCATATTGATAGAAGATGTTGATAAATCTTTGAAATGCCTTTGGAATATTTCCAAATCAATTGATGTATGAATTTGTTTTCTTTTTCGAAAATGCTTATAAAATATTTTTGGGTTATCTTTCCGGAGATGATCCAATAAATCGCCTTCTTTCCGTAAATACTGGCGTCTAAGTTTTGCTTCAGAATGCTTGTAATTTCTTTTTGCCTCGGTTAAATTCAAATGGTTTTCTCTGTTTTTCTTATTATTAAAACGGGTGAGTGCTGAGCGATATATCCTATACTTTTCTTTTAGTTCTACATTGAACCAAGGTTTGTCTGGTAATTTCACACATGAATGAGAGCTTGTTCCACCTGGATTTTGAACCGGTTTTGTAGGCCTTTTGTTAACTTCAAAATAAGGTCGCATAAGGTCAGTCAAACGTGTTGTAAACAAATCGATCGATACATCTATACTAGACTGGGACTCCGACGGGGTATTTTGTAAGCATGACACAAGATCTTCAGAATTCTCAATTAAATCTGACCTGGCTTGGGAAATCAAATTTTGATTCCAGACGAATTGAGTAGAAACTTGATGTTCACTTTCACTATGCACAATTGAGTTACATATAATATTTTTTGATTTCAATCTAAGATGAAGAGGTGCATGATCTGAATACATGTTAAAATTTGCAACAATAAACTGATCAATTTGCGGAAATACATCAGGGGTAGTTATAACATAATCTACAACACTCATGCCCCTTGGGCCAACAAATGTATAATCTTTGTCCATACCCAACTTATGACGCCCATTCAAAATTCTCAGCCCACTACTTTTACAAAGTGATAATAATTTGTTACCCAGATCATTAACAACCATATCAGGATTTGTTCTACTTTGTATATGTGTATCCACGCCATAAAATAAAACTTCACTCAATTCTCTCAAAACATCATCATGTAATATATCATGCATTATGAAATCATTTGCGCTTGCTGTTCTTGCATTAGTGTCACCAATCAACATAACTTTCCCAAAATTCATATATTCAACAATTTGGTTTTCGAGATCACTAAATATATCGCAATCATACGTTTGGTAGAAATTAGAACTGCTTGGTGGTATATACACACAGGCCATATACATATCTACAGGGCTTTGTAATATACATTTATCAAGCTTAAGCCATATAACAGTGTCATACATATTTTCAAGAACAGATACATATTGCTTAATATTTTTACGAATAAGAATAATACAACCTCCACCTTGCTTAGATTTTGAAAATTTTCTAGGAAAAACAAAACTATAAAACCCTTCCACCTCAACAGAGAACTCCTTTTCAATCCAACATTCTGTTAAAAGGATTATGTCATACGAAAGGATAAAACAACGGAAATTTTTATCGTTGAATTTAGACGAAAACCCTCCGTTTATGTTCCAACTTATTACTTTTACACTAACACAATCATTCTCCACTATCCCCTAGGTATCCTGTGTTTGGCACTCCACGGGCTCGTCTTCATCATGTTCATCTCTGTCACCCTCAGTTTCCCCTATGGTCCCTCCCTTGTACAGTTTACCGCTGATGTAGAGTTTATCGTACTTCAACTCTGCTTTTTTATTTTGTCCCAACGCTGCATGCAAAATGGGCATCAAGGCTTTTCGTTTCTCTACAATTTCCCTTGGGAATTGTTCACGCACACTGTAGTCGGTATTTTTAAGCTTGTATGCAGATGCCCTGACATTTTCCCTGATCCTGAAGTTGGAGAACTTTACAACAATAGGTCTTGTTTTGTTGTGGAGATATCTTCCGATCCTATGGGCACGCTCGATATTGGCCTTAATTCCATAAAGGTGTAATTCTGCTTCACAAAATTGATCAATGAGACTCGCGCAGTTCTCTCTGTTGTTTCCACGGTACTCGGCCAGACCGAAAAAAAGCAAATTGTCTCTCATACTCCTTGCCTGCAAATCTGTAATTTTACTTTGTAATTGTTCATTCACTGACTTCAGTTCCCTAATTTCCTTCACCGTTTCCTCAACATCACCTTTAAGACCCACCTGAGTTTTCTTGATTTCGCCTATCGAGTTCCCCAAATTTCCGGTAAATTTTTCCAGATGACCGACTTTAGACTGAATGTTTTCTATACGGTTACATAACAAGGACAAATTTTCACTTACTTTGTCTATTTTCGAAATTTTGGTGTCAAGGTCGTTGATTCGCATCATAAGTTGATCCACCCATGCAGGCTGCATAGTACTCGTGTTCGAATGTGCAGGCGGTGGAGTGTTTACGAATGTGCCTCGATCAATCATGCTATCTTGGTCGGCCATTTTGGTATTCTTCGACAACGGCTTGGGCGTTTGACCATCCGAGGACAGTCTGCGTTTATTTTCACCACTCATATTCACTCATTGTCTTTAACTGTTCACAATTTCAGACAATTACTCGCTGCTTAGACTTCAGAAATTAATAAAATATTCACAAATATTCACAAATATTCACATTTTCACATCACTGAAAAAATACCAACCATTATTCCCACGCATTAGAAACATCAGCTATGTATTTTCTAATTGAAAGATATTTTAGGTTAAACTAGAGGTACTGTGAGCGATGAGCTCACTAAATGATACCCCCCGCCTCCCATATGGTTTTAACTGGTGAAAAAGTCCATGTTTTCCTGTGGCCGGGAAACCCAAAATATGTGTCGGATCGGATCAAAAAGTAAAATAGGAGGTGCACAATGGCAATATGTAATAAAGATTCTGTGAAAGTTTCATCAAATTTCATTCAGTGGTATGAGAGGAGTTGCGGATAAGAGATGGGTACCCCAAAGCGTAACAGACGGACGGACGGACGGAAATACCGATTACTATATACCCATACATTGCCATTGTGCACCTCCTATTTTACTTTTTGATCCGACACATATTTTGGGTTTCCCGGCCACAGGAAAACATGGACTTTTTCACCAGTTAAAACCATATGGGAGGCGGGGGGTATCATTTAGTGAGCTCATCGCTCACAGGACCTCTAGTTTTTTATTTTATTTTCTTACTTTTATAAGCTACACATGACAATTTTTTACAAGACCCTCTCTAATACTTCAAAGAACCTTGAATCACATTAAGATGCAAAAAATGAAAACTGTTGCATGAAAAGTTTTCATTTCAAGCTTCATGTTGAGACATTTTAAATTAAATAATAATTTGAAGGACTATCCTTGGCCACTGACTGAGGATCAGATATCCTTTAAAAAATAAAATTATAAAATGCTGATCTGACTTCTCTTGATATGTTTTATAACATATTTAAATTGTGCAAAATTTAAACGCTTAATTATTTTATTTGCAATTAAAACAATTGTTCCATTTTCTCCAAATTAAAAAGCCCCAATAGTTTATTTCAAAAAATCAATTTAAGCTAATAGCATCCATCACATACTGAAACAATTTTTCAGAAGAGATGTGTTACAGATTTCTTAAAATTTTTAATTTCTTTTCAAGTAGCATTCCTTCAAAAACAGAAAACAAATCTATCAACCATATGTCATTTTCATTTTCAGTGTACATGCATCTTATTAGATTAGTAAATTTTGCTTTAGATAATTTTCATTCCAATTAAGCTTAACCAATCTTTTAAATATTATAACATTAAATGATACAGAAATCATTATACCCACGCTTGAAAAGTGGGAGGGTATATAGTAATCGGTATTCCGTCCGTCTGTACGTCCGTCCGTCTGTTACGCTTTGGGGTACCCATCTCTTATCCGCAACTCCTTTCATACCACTGAAGGAAATTTAATGAAACTTTCACAGATTCTTAAATACATATTGCCATTGTGCACCTCCTATTTTACTTTTTGATCTGACATATATTTTTGATTTTCCAGAGCAAAACATGGACAGTGCCATTACATTCATATGGGAGGCGGGGGGTATCATTTAGTGAGCTCAATGCTCACAGTACCTCTAGTTTTAGTTTGTATCATAAAACTCAACAAGAATTAGATCTAAATTCGGTTTGAAAAATAAAATATTTTGAATTTTAACCCCCATCCCCCACAAAGTAGGATTTTTTTTTAGAGACAAGTTGTCTTTTTTTTCAGGCTCCCTCCTTCAGAAATGATATTATCTGTCTGAACTTTGACGTAACTAAAACAGTGCTAACTTCCAACGAAAGATTCCGCTTAGCAACTTTTTTTTTTCTTTTTTGAGTGAGGGAAAAAAATTTGAAAGCAAAAATAAATTTAAAAAATAAAATAAAAATTACATATTTTTGTGTGCGTACATATATATCTCTTTAGGTTAATGAATACTGGTATTTTTATTTTGTTTATAAAACGATATTTTAAAAGTGATGTTCTCTCTTTTTCAATTTTTTTTTTGTGTGTGATCCGATGTTAGTGTCTGAATGCGAATGAGAAAGTGTGGGGCGCAAATATACTCTAAGCCGATGTTTTTGTAATTTTTTTTATTATGTACACATGCATGGTTACTTTAAAATCTTCGGTGTGACTTAATGTTTTTTTCATTACTTAAAAATGTCAAGAAAGAAGTATTTCATTAATTTCTTAAGAGTATCTAGATAAAACGTAAAAGGTAATCATGTGCTTTTAATAGACTCTATTTAAAATCCAAAAAATTAATATCAAACATTCTACATGGTCATATGTGAGAAATTGCGAAAATTAAATATGATTTTGCTTTTAAAATCACTTGATATGCAAAACAAATATTCTATATTTACATTCTAATTTACTTGTATATATATTACGTAGATTAAATCTCACATATCAGTAAATCTAAAGTTATAGCTATCATCTGACTTTTTGTGAATGCGTCTTGTTTATGAAATCTTCATTTCTTTATTTCCTCTATCTATTTATTTATTTATAAAAAATTCAAATCCTGATTCTTTTAGAATAGCAACCAAAATATTTGAATATAAACTCACGGCTTTTTTCCACTTCATGCGTCGGTTCTGATACCAGGTTTTGACCTGGACCTGTGACAGCCCGAGGGAGTCGGCCAGCTCTAGCCGGTCAGGTGTGGACAGGTACTTCTGGGACTCGAACCTCTTCTCCAGACCTATCAGCTGCAGCTCGGTAAACACCGTACGACTCCGCCGGCACTTCTTGGGTTTCAGGAATCCCGCGGTCTCCCCGGGGGAGCGGGATCGGATGTAGACCGGAAGCGGAATCGGTAGAGAGCTCGTGTCCTGCAGGTCCAGTAACGATTCCATAGGAAAGCCTGGGGTAAAAAATAAATCTGTAGTAAATTGTTACTAAGTTTCCTATATTTGTTTATTTATATATGTATGATTTTTTTAGCATACTGTAAATTAACGTATCCGCAATAATATTTGCAATCTATATTGTAAGTGATTACACGGAAAGTAGAAATTTAATTTATAAAGAAATGTTATATTTGAAAATTTACAAATTTGTCGGTCTTTCAACCTTTATAATAAAAGTTCAAAATTGCAAAATATTACATTCTTCCAGTAGTCTTTAGAGTTAATCTTTATTTAAAACATTACAAGAGATGACTATGATATTAAAATATATAAAATTAAGGTGAAGTATAATCAAGCGCAAAATTCCATTAAAAAAATACAAATTGTAGGTAGAACAAACGCGGACCTCTACGAAATCGGAATTTATTTCACATTCTAAGATTTTATATTTTATTCATTAATTTTTATTTCTTTTAATGCAGATTTTTCGGTGTCATTTTCTAAATAGAAGATTTCATACTTTAGGTAATTTTTATCTTTAAAAAAGAAGAAAGAACTTGATTTATTTTTTTTTAACTTAAGATTTTATTAAAATTTTCTGTAAGAAAACTACATGTATAGATTCATCAGCTTTTTTCATATCAATTATTGCCAAGATTAAACTAAGAAATTTCACACTCCAGGGTGTTACAAAATGTTTTAACAATATATCATCATTCAAAAAAAAAAAAAAAAAAAAAAAGAATAAATGAAGAAAAAAAATCTCGTAAGTTTTTTAATCTTACAATTGTATAAAATTGTATAAATGTGAAGATATAAATAAATTCAGTTCAGCGATAGATGGATATTAATTTGAAATTTCATGATTTCTTTTTATTATAAATGGAATAAATGGAGATATTTAATGTAATATTTAAATAAATGTTGTTCTTTCAAAATATATAAAAATTTCATATACCGGTATATAATCTGATATTGAAATTATTTCTTACAATTGAGAGGGTTTTTTTTCCTAATAATTTTTAATTAATAAGTTTCTTACTTTAATTTTAAAAAAGCATCAAAACTACAGAAATATGCTAGATCAAAGCTTTTAGATTTAAATGTAAGAGTATAGTTTTTGAACAAAGATATTTGATGAATGTACGTCTCTAATATGATAAATTACTCTTTCAAATTATTTTTACAAACTTTACTTATTCATTATTTATTATAATAAATAAAGTCAATAAATAATGGATTCTAAATTAACTGGAGTGTTACCCAAATTTTAATCTTGTTACACTAGTTGGAAAACTATCATACAAAAATACTACATGTATAATTTTTTTTAAATGCAGTGTAGTCATAAAAAATTGGCATTAAATTATTAAGAAAGAAATGTATATGCCTTTCTTTTTTTATTGGTGAAATCAATTAAGAAAACAATCAGGTTTTTAAAAACGAACTTCAGCGATTTATTATTCCGACCTTTGAATAGCATTCCCCTCAGTTGAGATATTACTTAATACAAAACCTATATTTTACAAAAAAAATTCTACTGAAATATTAAAATTTGATGTTCAACTACAAACCTTTCATATCAACTATTTAAATTTTGGGGACAAATATATATAAGAAAAAGAAATTAAAAAAAATAAATTCGCATAGTTTGTATTGCAGAAATTATATCAATATAACGCTTTGTTTGCATATTTATTTATTTAATTTGGAAATTCACTATTTACTGAAAAAATAATATCCTGATTTTTGTTGTAAATTACCTCTGTAGGCCAGAGAATGTGCCCTGGAGGAGGGGACCAGGGGTTGATGCTGCATCACGTGACTAGGGTAAGGGCCCGGGGGGTAAGTGGTCATGGACTGGTCCCTGTGGAGGTGCTCATATTCCGGGAACTTTTCCGCCGTCCCAATGGGCCTGGAATCAGGTCCTAGAATGTCCCTGATGTAGAAGGAGGAGTTCGGCGGTTGTCGTAGTGATTGTGAATTTTGACCAAACATCACGACATGGTTAATTATGCGATTATTCCAAAATATTAAAAATTATATTTCCTTTGCCAGGAATCATGAAAATTTCTCAAAAAAAAAACTTCGTTAGGACATGAAACCCCGCTAAGTGTATAATGCGGCACTAAATACATAAGCGATATTCTTAAACGCCTCCTAATGGCCACTCAGCGACTCAAAGAGGTGCTGCACGATGTTGGAACTACGATAAAATCAGGCGATCATATGTAATTTTCTCAATATTTGCTGACTTAATTCGCCAATCAAGAGTGATTAGTGTTAAACAAATAAAGAATGTGCAATACATTCCAGATGTGATGAGGATATGATTGTAAATGTTTATCTACATCTAATGATGCCCAGCTCAATCGGCAAAACAAACTAACGGGCACATGTCTTTTCCAGAATAAAGGAGGATCAAGTAGCCACTGGAACCACACACGGGGGGCCGCCAGGAGTTCCCACGTTCAACACCCCTCTTTTTGGGTTTTTGTCATGAGGTTTTACCAAGATTTTTTTGTCTTGTTTGTTTGTATTGCAATGGTTCAAACGAACTGGTTGACAGGTTGCCATTTCCCATTCTTAAAGCTTTTTGATGTTAGCTTTGAACATGGGAAATAAGTTGCGTTTTTAGAAACAGAAATGAGCTATTTACGTTTCCACAAAAAAATGTAATTTCATTTTCAATATAAAGAATAGAAGGTGTGGGCTTCGCGGCTAATAGTAATACATTTTCAATGACAGTGACTTTATACATGTAACATCATGTTATGTTAGTGTTTGATCGCTCAGCAGGCATGTACGTAACATTAAGGGGGTGGGGCTGCCTCCCCTTTTTTTGGACATAACTTTTTACTATAGAAAATGTAGTCCATTTGATCCCTTCACTTTTTGTTGCAGTATAGTCATGTAAGAGTAGTTTGGTATGTTTCTGTTAAAAAAAATTGGCACTGCAAGAAATTGAATTCCAACAAAAACATCCCCCACGAAATAGAATTTTCGAGTTTTGACAATTTTTTTTTTTTTGGGGGGGGGGCAATTTTTTTTCATGTAAGTTGATTTTTTTTCTCTGACTGCCTCCCTCCTCTTTCAAAAACGATACTTCTTCACTTATCAGGTAAAGCACATATATAAAACAAACAGACAGTTCACCTACAATTATAACCTCCAATCAAAAAGAATCCAATAAAATGTTCATTAAAGCTTCCGAAATACCATACTATTCTACATTTTCATTTCTTCAGAACTATAATACACACACGATTTCATTAAAAGATATGTATATATAATCACAATATCCATGGATTGCCTTTTTCCTAATATTTTTGGGGGCTCAAATTGTGCCGTTTCCAAAAATAGAAAATTGCTGTTGTTTTTTTTTTAGAATAGACAATTTAATGAAAATTCAACGTTTATGTGTTTTCTTTTTTTTTTTAATTTTAATTGATAGCGTATCCAGCAAAACCCCTTTAAAAATTCGCGAATTGAAATAACCTCCAACATTTTACTTTCGCAAGTAACTCCTGGTAAAATAAATCCTTTATTTTTGGCCAAAAAAGAAACTATATTCTGAAAAATATTTTTCCAACCTTAAATACAGTTTATCAAAAAGTTAAAATTTACTTCAAATACAATACTTTTCATATGAAAGCTCTGAAAAGAAGCAATGAATTCTGTACATCTTATGTTTTTTTTAAAAATGCACCCTTTTAAGTTTTTACAATCCTTTCTGAAGAATTACTCGAGGAATTATCCTTGGATACATTACCCCCGGATAAACACTAGCTGTTTAGATGAAGTTGATACTCGGCCAATTTGCCCAGTAACAAGCTCTGAGCCTGATTGTAAATATTGGAGTCGACAGGGACAAATTCTACTGTCAGTCAATGCTACAACCCGACACTGATAAAATAACGTGCCGCAACTTATACATGTATATCATAAATAAGGGGTCAGAGCTGGAGATTTCTCCATGTGTTTTAATAACAAATCCAATATTATATGGATACCATTAATTCACCTTACTTAGGACTTAAAAAAATTTAGGAATTGATTTCCACGTGGAAAATATCAGTTTCATACATTGCCTATCATGATCTAAACAAATACAATGTATAATGTTAACAACAATTAATATATTCTAAACCCTAGTTAGGTCTGAAAATGTTATTTAATGCTGCATGACATTTCAAACTGTTTTAAAACCCTAATGTGTCTCTCCATTTAGGTAGTTTCCAAAGTTTGAATACTTGGTTTTAATCTTTCACTTTACAAACTGCTATTTCGTGATTTTTTTACTTCCAAAACATTTTCATTTTTTTTGTAAAAAAAGAGCCCCATCCTAAGTTAGTTGATAAAGCCTGAAAATTGGACATAGGACATCAAAGTAATTTTTGTTTTCACTTTCCTCCACCATTCACAAAATTACTGTTTATATGTAATCCCTCCTCAAAATGATTTAACTGACCATTAACACCCCCAACTTCTTAGGATAACACAGTATATAAAATATTGTAATATAAATAATATTTATTAATAATACATTTTATGTACAAAAATTGTTCTGCATAGATCAAGACAGGGGCGATAACTTTTGTAGAAGCTTGTCAATGTGCCTGAAAAAAAGAAGCCACATATGTAAAATACTTGTAAACATTGTAAGAAAATAAAACTGATGCATGCAGATCTATATTTTTTCATACCATTAGAGTACAGTAGTCAGAGTTTTTAATGACTTACCCTAGCTGTTGTTCAAACTGTGATCGCTGGGCACGAAGGATCTGTAACAGCTGATCCTCAGGGAATTCCCCATCAGATTCATAACTCTCCTCTAAAACAGAAAAAAGAATTTATGAATGCATTTCAATACAATAAGGATATTATCTATTTTAATAATACAGTAAAACAAGACTCACTTATTGTTATCTAAAAGATACTTTTGACAGGAAGGATTTAAAACTTGCTTTAAACTTAAATTTTAGAATTCATTTAACTTCAAATATTCAGTTTATAATTTTCTGAAGTCTAAACTTTTTTCAAATTTTGTATTACAGTTATATTAATGTTGATGGATATTCGGCACATGTTATATGTATAACTATATCCTCACCATTCTCTAGCTCTGCCAGATTCCGGCCCCTCTTTGCCTCCTCTGCCAGATTCTGTCCCTTCCCTGCCTCCTCTGGGACTGATCCTGTCTTCACCTTTCTCTCTTTCTGTGTCCCCGTCCTTTGTTTTTCCTTCACTCTGGAATCAGGGGCAGACAATCCTGAGGGAGGCTTGGGATCAGGAGGAGATAACTCCGGAGGGGATATTCTGGTGGACTCTGTGATTTCTACACTCTGTCTATTTTGGTCTAACAAACTATTGTCCACACTGTCTATCACAGTACTCAGTGAAGATGTGAACAACCTGTCCTTGATAACCTGTTAACAACAAAGGACGACAATGGGTTATTATCAAAACATACAAAATCATATTGATTCCTTAAAACAAATAGATAGAATAGATAAACATGTATCTAAGTGATATACCTGTCCTATAGCTGAGTTAACACTCTCAAATCTCTTCATAGAAGGACTATGGCACTCTCTTGGTCTGGGAATGTTTTCTTCTCCTTCAGCTTCATCCTCCTGTGCCCTACTTTTACTTGAATGTTTAACATCAGACTTTACATGTTGGCTTTCGTGGTTTTTCTTTCTCTTTGGAATGTCACTTGCACTTTCTTTAGTTCTATTTTCACTTTCACTAGTTTTTGGTTTGGTTGCCTCCACATCTGGTCTCTCTGCTTCTAGGTATTTATATCTCCCTGTCTTTTCTTCAAGGTCAGATGATTCAGATTCACCTTTACAATTGTTGTCTTCTGACCTTGAACTTTGACTTATTTTTGACTGCCTCCCCTCCTGTTTTGACCTTTCTGTTGTAGGTGACCTTGGTGTTTTACCTACATACTGTTGAGAGTGCTGACAGGGAAGTAGGTCACACATTAAATGTAAATGAGGTTCCACTCCTGTCTGTTTCCCTCGCCTTCCAAGGGTGGGGCTTGCTATTGGAGGTATGTTATTTCCATATTTCTGCTCCAACTTTGGCTGTAAATAAGGAAACAATCTTAAAATGATATCCTCCTTAAACAAATAAGGAGTGTAAGTCAAATTGGGGAGATAATGTGACCATTAGATGTCACTACAACAGTAATTAGAAGTCAGATTTTTCTTAATTTATTGTTGACCAATACTATAAATTCCTAAATATATGCTAGGAATTAATTGTGTAATTTCGCGAGAAATATGACTGGCAAAATAAAATAACTCGCCTTCATTTTTATAATGCTGCAAAATCTCTTGATCAATTGTCTCCTCACCAATTCATGTTCTCATGATATGACATTAAAGTGCCATTTTGCAATAATAAATACTCGCGAAAAATAAGAAATATAAGGTAACTATATTATTAAAATTTTCATACAATCTTAAGATGAGTAACAAATAGTTTGACTATGATATTTTGATTACAAAAAGATTCTGAGTGCCAGTATAATTTTATTATAAATTTAGTCCTTTCAGTTTCAGTCAAAAGAATTTTAAACAAGAGGCCCATGGGCCACATCGCTCACCTAAGAATCTTTTGTCATATTGTTCTTTACCAGATTTCCCCCTTGTAATACATATTGTGACACCGCCCTACCCCAATGATCATAATTTAAACAATTTGAAACCTACACTACCAAGGATGCTTCCACATAAGTTTCAGCTTTTCTGGTCCAGTGGTTCTTGAGAAGAAGATTTTCAAAGATTTTTCCTATATATTTCTATGTAAAATTTTGATTCCCCATTGTGGCCCCGCCCTACCCCCAGGGGTCATGATTTGAACAATTTAGATTCTACACTACCCAAGGGTGCTTCAACATAAGTTTCAGTTTTACTGGCCCAGTGGGTCTTGAGAAGAAGATTTTCAAAGATTTTTCCTATATATTTCTATGTAAAACATTGATTCCCCATTGTGGCCCCGCCCTGCCCCCGGGGGTCATGATTTGAACAATTTAGAATCTACACTACCCCAGGGTGCTTCCACATCAGTTTCAGCTTTTCTGGCCCAGTGGTTCTTGAGAAAAAGATTTTCAAAGATTTTTCCTATATATTTCTATATAAAACTTTGATTCCCCATTGTGGCCCCGTCCTACCCTCAGGGGTCATGATTTGAACAATTTAGAATCTACACTACTCCAGGGTGCTTCCACATCAGTTTCAGCTTTTCTGGCCCAGTGGTTCTTGAGAAGAAGATTTTCAAAGATTTTTCCTATATATTTCTATGTCCACCATTGTGGCCCCGCCCTACCCCCGTGGGTCATGATTTGAACAATTTAGAATCTACACTACCCCACAATGCTTCCACATCAGTTTCAGCTTTTCTGGTCCAGTGGTTCTTGAGAAGAAGATTTTCAAAGATTTTTCCTATATATTTCTATGTAAAACTTTGATTCCCCATTGTGGCCCCGCCCAACCCCCGGTTTTAACAATTTAGAATCTACACTATCCCAGGGTGCTTCCACATAAGTTTCAGCCTTATTGGCCTAGTGGTTCTTGAGAAGAAGATTTTTTAATGACCCCACCCTATTTTTGTCTTTTCTTGATTATCTCCCCTTGTGAGGGGACTTGGCCCTTCATTTTAACAATATAAATTCCCCTTCACCCAAGGATGCTTTGTACCAAGTTTGGTCAAAATTGGCCCAGTGGTTCTTGAGAAGAAGTCGAAAATTTGAAAAGTTTACAGACGGACAGATGGACGGACGACGGACAAAATGTGATCAGAAAAGCTCACTTGAGCCTTCGGCTCAGGTGAGCTAAAAAGAGCTCTTAGCTAAGACTAGCAAGGCTCTAATCCATGATAACAAATTGACCTCTGACAAGATATGGTACCTGATACTCGGAGCTCTGATCAGCAGCGAAGTTTGGACTAGGGACAGGTGAGGGAGTGAACTGAACAGAACTGAGGACCCGCTGAGGCTCCTTAGGGGGCCTCTTCCCCGACAGTCTCTCTTTAAATTCTGATAACTTTGTCTTTACTTCCTCCTAGAAATAAGTATTTAAATGATTATTTACTCTTTCATTCAACTGCAATTAATTCAACTCTTTTGTTGAATTATGGTAATCATTATAAAAAATATCAATATTTTATACTTATTTCTTATGTTACAAACCTCATCAGGGTTTTGAGAAAGGAATCCAAACGTGTTTTTATTTGCCGGAGCTTTGTCGGCTTTGTCTCGAGCGGACTCGAGTCGTCGTTTTACTCTCCACTGATGTAGGATATCGTCTTCAGGTCGAGCAGGTTTTGTAGGACGAGGGAAGATGGGTGCCGTGTCAACGTCACGTGAATAACCACCTGGTTCCCGACTCAATCCAGGGTATTGTGTTCTAGGGGGACCAGCATCTAAATATTTTAAAATTTATATCAATTTGTTTAATGGTTTTAGGCATATCTTGCATAACTTTCTTTGTGTATTAATGTTTCTAAATGAAATTTTAAAAGGCATCATCATCAAAATCTCTGTACCAAAATTTTTAGCAAATGCTGGGCGGTATGGTTGTTCTTCAAAACTGGAAATGGTTCCGTCGTAAGAACTCCCAAGTCCATCTGTACTAACAATGGGCTCGGAAGAGGCAACAGTGCTAACACTGAAAAAAAATATTACTATCACCAAGTGATTCTATAGAAAGATAAATAAAATCTCATTAGATGACAGAAAGGTGACCTTCCTGACCTTCTTTCCAGTAATCTGTCGGCCCTGTCCTGTAGCTGCTGGGTGAGTTTGTCAGAAGGAGACCCCTCAGCCACCTACAACAGACAGCTTCATCATAAACAGATGTGACTCTCAACTTATTCTAAATGGTAAACATGATTAATTGTATCCCCTTAGTCCTTACATGTTCAGCAACAGATAATTTATATTGTATTAATGCATACTGTAAACGTATTACGTTTGGCGGTGTATTCTTTTTAGCGCTCTAGGTGGAAAGATACTTCCGCTAATTCAAGTACATAACTAAATGTCTTAAACAATGATACATGAATAAGAACAACAAGAAATGCACTAAATTAAATTTAAGCTAACTTTTTTAAAAATCATTTTCCGCTAAATATAGTACACGCTAAATAAAATACATTTACAGTATTATTTTAACATATGGCATTCTCTTTAATTTTTATAAAGAAATACAATGAGCGTACCTTTCCGACAGTAGGTGTCTTTCTATCGTCATTGTCTGATTTTGATGGGTCAATCCACCAGAAGTCTTTAGAGCTGGCTGCCGTTTGTCTCTCTCTCTCCTCTCTACTCATCGGCTCTCCCCTCCGAAATCTCTCCACATACCTGTCATTCATACAAACTTTTGTTTATAGGCCATTTTACTTCATGCTTACTTCATGTACCTTCAAATATCTAATGAAAAAATCCATAATACATTTAACTATGCTTTACTTAAAATAAGGAAGCACTTTAATAAAATTGTGTAACTGACCTCTGTAGTGTGGATGCTCCCTCCCCCGGGGGACCCTTCAGATCTGTCTCTGTGAATGACAGGGTCTGTTTGACATCGGAGTAATCTTCCGTTCTCTTCCCATATAGATCTAACATTTTGTGAAGTGAATATGGACTCCTATCATCTGTGCCTGTCAGACTGAAATCGATTTATTTTCCAATATATTGGTTTTATTCAAGACAAGAAAAAGACATCAATTTTTAATACTATCTTCAAGCTATTACAATACTTTCTTGTTAAACATGTTAAAATACAACAATTGAATTGAAGAAAACAACCCACAATGATGAAAATCAATTATAAACTATCATGTTAGGTATCACAAGACAGTCAGTACCCCACAGACGATGGTCTCTCGCTGCTCGGCCAGGATTCATCAAACTTTGAGGAAGCGTTATCATCAGGAGGAGGGGTCTTTGTTAAGTACCGATTACCTCCCTTGAGGAACACTTCATCCTCGACACTGGGTTGCTTGTCTCCTTTATCTTCCTGCTTTAATGGACTACCCAAAGCTGTCTGTCAAATAAAACATGAATATTTTATTTAAATACAATGAATATACTATTTAATCAGTAGTTATTGGTGAATAATTTAATTTTATTTGTATTCTCGCCTCTCATTGGTTGATTTCCAAAAAGGAACGCATAACATTTTGTATAATCTGGTTTGGTATGGGGACACACCCCCTTGACGACCAGCTTAATCATCATATCCATGCAATCCCCTCATTTCCAGTCCTCGGAATCCATGGAAAATTCCAGATTTAATAAATGTACCTTCAACTTTAATCAATTACTCGTTCTTACCTCATGTAAACAAACATCATGGCTGCTAGATCTATGAATCAGTCATTACCTCCCCTCGCTTCAAATCACTTCCGTTACTACGGTTGTATTATTGCGCGGTAAATTTGAACTTATAAAAAGCAACACAATTTTACATCAAAAGTTGTTTAATTATCTTAAAATTAAATTATAAGGAATGACTTTAATTCTTGGCCATATTATCGAGTATAATCTGGTTTGGGTCAGTTTACGCTTTTTTATAATCCGCTTCGCGGATTATAAAGCGTAAACTGACCCAAACCAGATTATACTCGATAATATGGCCAAGAATTAGAGTCATTCCTTAAAAAAGGTTGGTCTGCAATATATATCATCGTAGGCCATATATATTTGTTATGTATCAAGTATTTATCCCACATTTACCTCTTTATCCCGTGGATATGACTCATTGGATATTTTTTTTTATATCCCACACTTAAGTGCAGTTATGACATCACAATGGTTTTTGCTTTAGCGAGATAAAGTAAAATTAAGTGGAGTATTACATAAAACACAGTAAAACATCGGTTGTGAAGTATTAAACATGGGATAAAAAGAATCTCCCATGATTTGTAGCTGGATATGATTTTTTTTCCAACTCGTTATGTGTTTTTATCCCCTCGTCAAGGATCGGGGATAAAAAAAAAACACAACTCGTTGGATAAAAACCATATCCAACTACAAATTATTAGAGATCCTTTATTCATCCTGCCTCTGATAAAAATCATCAAACTTCATTGGTTGAGAAAAATACTGTATCAATCAATAATATGCTGTCTACCCACATCATATTACTACTGACCCCCCTCAACATGACCTACCCACCACACATCAAATCAATATGCCCCCTCCACATTTTTCAGCAGAGCACTAATTAGAATGCAGCAATCAATGTGAACACTAACTGGATATCTCTCACTTTACTCAAACATAATAATTAGGATTTTTTTTATGGGACTGAACCTTGATCTATTCTCTTACATGTACATTTTGTTTACCTTTCTTTGACTTTTGGAGAGATATTTGTGTTTGCTTGGATGATAATGTGCTTTTGGTAAAGGTTTAACTGCAAACGGGTCCCTGAAAAGAAATAGGCCTATCATGCATGAAGAAATGAGTTCAGAAAAAACCTTATCATTCATTTAAAGCATTTTTTAAACGTCTAAACAACGATTTCACCGTCAAAATAAACGACTATCAGGTTCATTCATGTTTTTATCTGCAAAATCATATTTCTAACATGGTCAGAAAATACAGTATTTCGAAAATATCAAAGATTTAAACTTTTTACACACCTATTAACTTTCTGAGTCTTTGATTCTAACACCATATTCTATATTTTGCTCCTCCAAAGAAAACCAAATTCACATGCACGAACAAAGTTTAACATTTTCCGCCATATTTAAACAAACGCGCACTGTTATATGAAAGAAACGAATAAAATATTTTATAGATTTTTATTGATTTTTTCAGACAATTGCTTCAAGATGAAAAAAATATTTGAAAAAAATACCTTTTTAAATTAACTAGAATAAAACGAATTTCTTCTCTTAATTATCCGTACAAGATATTTTATTTTCGTTTTGTGAAAAATTATGATCTGCGTTTTGTTTATCAAAATGGCGACTAACATTAACAAGTCGAAGGAACAAATTGTTGCTGGTTTTCAGGAATTAAGACAGCAACAGAGAGCCATAGCAACAAAAATATCGGAATTAGAAATGGATATGAAAGAACACGAGTAAATATTTCTTAAAAATCTCTAACGACGGCTCTTTTGTAACTTTTGATACATGTATTTGGAAACCACGTTGTTCTGGCACGCATTAGATAGCAACAACTTGTAATGGCAATGGAGTTTGATTTGAATGTGGGTGGTTATGTTGATTACTTGTTTGACCCGGGTGGTATCGACACGAATCCATGTTCGACCCGAGTGATTTCGTTCCAAAGCAATTTCACACTTTCACCAGTTTTACATTTTATTTTCTGTCTACATGGGATTTCTTTATATTTTAATCATTTGAATAGTGTTAGTTATTGTTTATATATTCTATGCAATTTAATTAATTAATACGTAATATCGCGACTACCAATAAGTACCTCACAGTTATCTAACTTACTACCGCTCTTTTGCGGGGGAGTCGAGGAAGGTCAAAATTTCTGGGGCACATGACATTGTTTACAGTAGTGACAATCGACTGATTCCAACAATTTAATGCCGAAATCATAATATTTGCCAGATATTGAACTCCAGATAGTAGATTGTCAAATAAGGAAAGTTTAGAATATTTTATATGCTTTAAAATGTGACGATTTTCAGTGAAAATTTAACGAGAAGAGTACGCTTACTTAAAAATATCGTTAAAAATGTAACAATTTAGGATTGGCTCCTCTCAAAAATTTATTAGGCTGGTTTAGCGATTGTTTAGCAATGTATTCCACCAGGATTTTTTACTTATCTGTCCTTATGAATGAAAAGAACAATGATCGATCTTGCATTGTATTAAATAGCACATTTGCCCCCACCCAACAGACATTTCCTACCTCCATCGCGAAAGAGTTCTGCTAAGTTAAGTAATCGCGATATCAAGTATTAGGAGAAACGTACATTTCTTAGACAGGGTATGTGATAGCGGTGCATTTGAAGAATTATATTTTTATGGAAAACTGTTCAAATATATTTCATTTCTAAATCAATTTTCAACATCCTAATGTTCTGCGGTAGTAGATCAAAATGTTAGGAAACCATCGTTGACTACACTATAGTACAGATACGGAAACAATCATCTCTGAAGTCATACAATATACAGCTACCAAATATCTTTTTTTTTTACCACATTGTGTACTCCTATAAGTATACTCAGGTACGCACCTGTAGGGTCATATACATAAATGCAGATCAAAACCACTTGGGTCAGAATAACCATGTGGGTTGAACACGGAATTGCAAGGTAACCACCCGACACCCTTGATGTATTCAGGATTTTTAAACATAATACTTTAAAAGAACAATCTGTATATTTAGAATACTTTATTTACCTTTGAAAGTTTTATGTTTATTGATATTTAACCTGATCCCTATTTACAAAATCATTCATAGGTATTACTAAGCCTTTTTTTGAACCATTGGGACTTCAGAAAGGTGCTTAGACAAGAACTGTGAACAGATATTCTTATTTAATGTTATTTTAATATTTTGTATATATTAATTTACTCACATTTATCCATGTTAAATTTCCCAATCTCAACAAGGAGCACATGACGTGTGTGATAGGTTGGCAGGAGATGCTCACTCCTCCATGGCACCTGATCCCACTTCTGACGTTTTGAAGGTCCTTGTTTGCTCTGATCTAGATTTGTATTGTTATACGAGGGGTGATCAAAAAGTTCGCAAACTAATTGAATAACTTCCATACAAGAAACAATATTTGGTTTTAATGTTGATTATATTTTAAATTAATCCTCCCCGATTTTAATGTACATCAAGCACCGTTCTGCGCATGCGCGAATCACGTGATATTGGCGGTCACGTGACCCCCTCTGTAGCGTTCTGTCACAAAAGTTAAAAGATTTTTCCGATTTTTATATTTCTTTCCATGTGAGTTAATTTTTATGACAAGAACTGTTAATTTGTCAGAAATGGTCATATCTCGGCAACAGAATGGGTGGATAATAACATCCTTTCCAAAAATAAGCATGGCGACCATTAAAACACAAATCTTCTGTCTCAGGAGAGACCTTTATTCAAGGTGGATAGAGAATGGGTGCATCCTTTTTATCATATCTAATATGTTTAAAATCTAAAGTAAACGATATCTTAGGTATTTAATACTTATATCATTGTTCAAATATTCAACTATTTTTCAAAGTGCTAATTGGAGGTCTTTGATAGCAAATTGCTTAATTAAAAATACATATCTTTTCAAACTTGCTTTCACTGGGTAAGATGACAAGTATCATTTTTAGCCATCAGCCTTCCTTCACTAAAACGATTAATCCAATCATTAATTGAATTTATAGGAACTCATTTATCTCAATAAACTGTGTACAAATTATTATATGATACTGTAGAGGGATTTCTAAGATATTACAATAAATTGTACAGTCGTTTGTTGAACGAGTCCACTGAGACAACCATTTTTCGTCACAAGTGACCTAAATATTGACATCATTTTCACATTGTGACGTCACAAACAAGGAGAGAAACTTTATTCAGCATATGCTATTTATAGACCTTGTGTATGGCTATGTGTGTACCGAATTTCATTCTAATCTGAATTGTGGTTTTGTAGATATAGAGATAGTTTGCGAACTTTTTGATCACCCCTCGTATGGACTTTGGGCTAGTGTGATGTTCGTTGTCTGACTCTCTATATATACTGAAAGGAAAAAGAAACACAGGGTAACATAATATTCGAAAAAAATTTGACCGCATGACCGATAATTACGAAAATTGGTCAAATGAGAAATTTAGTTATTATGCACCAGAATCAGTGTTCAGAATTACCCAACCGTAAAATGTATGACGTCATGTAGGGAAAATGCTAAAAAGCCCAAAACACGTGCAATTTGATGACGACATGTTTGCCAACAAATCCTGTTGCACTAATTGATGCACCTGAGGTATACACATCGTTTTTCAATATTTTGAGACGATATGAATTTCTTGCAATCTTGGTACAGTTTACGGACGTTCCTTGGGGTCTCGTTTTCAAATTGCCTAATTAATGAAAAAGGCAACAACGGGTTACTAAGCAGTTTCTTGTAAATTTTCCTCCATAAAACCATAGACCTAAAATGAAGGGTCCCTTCGTTTTAGGTCTATGATAAAACTTGTTATCCGTTGTTAGAGAGGGCCTGCAATGCTTTTCAATCAACCGTGACGATGACGTTAACGTGAAACAGAGTCATGTTGCGAGCGGGTTCTTCATCCTGCCATCTCTTAAATTTCCACCTTACTACCACAAAAACATCCGTTTATACAGTAGACTGTTATAGTCATTACATTTACATGAAAATTTAAAGAAAACAATTCCGCAGTTTGGTTTTCTTAGCCGATAAACTTAGTGTTGTGTTCCTCTCACTGGCGCATGCGCGCGTCGTATGACTAATTTTTTGACGTGGTTACACATGCCCAAATTAGTCAGTGATTGAAAGATAAAAACTCTAATGAATTCCATGCAAAGGAGAAATAAGGTTCCTGACAGATGCGCGGGAGAGACATTCAACATAGTGAGAATTTTCAATTTTCACTTTTGGGGAGTATCGTCAATATGAGCTTCAATAATTCATGAATTATTAGACAAAATCAAATGGGATTTTGGTTATATCTTTTTGAAAGATGATTTTAAAATTTAGATAGGAATACTGAAAAAAATTAAAGAGAAAAATAAATATAATTCACCTCAAAAGTTTACCCTGCGTTTCTTTTTCCTTTCAGTATATGTCATTGCAACTAGTATCTACTTGCCAGTTGGGCAAGCACAGTTGTTTTAGTTATTGGAAACCATAAAAAATTATAATACTATTTTAACTTAATTCTGCCTCTGTGCTTTGTCATATGCTTCATTGAACAACAAAAGATCAAGACTCTGTTTTCAATAAGTCATGATTGTCTAAAACAGATCATAATACCTACCAAAAATGATTGTCAAAATCTGAGTATCTTGATTATCTTATTTTAAAGTCTTTACTTGCTGCTTGTTTTAGGTTGGTTATAGAGACATTGAAAGACGTAGACCCGGATAGGAAGTGCTTTAGAATGGTTGGGGGTGTCTTAGTTGAGAGGACGGTCAAAGATGTTCTGCCAGCCTTAGTAAACAACAAGGAACAGGTAAATGCTGATTTACTTATTTCTATATTTTGAAAAACTGTAAAATCACATATTTTTGTAGGGTCAAATTTTCAGGGTTTGAGGAAAAAATATGGGTTTGTGGGGATTTAATTTTGTGGATGAAGAATTATTGAGTTGAATATCTGTAAAAAATTACATTTCATGGTGGACAAATTCATGGGTTTCTTTTAACCTCGAAAACCATGAAAATTAAACCCCCACAAAATTAGTGATTTCACAAATTCACAATATACAAAAACTGATTCTAGTCTTTAGTTAAGAATTTGCTGCTTCAGAATGTTTTGGAGGGACAGATTCACTTGAAGAATTTTTATGACTCATATTTATTATCAGTAAATGCAATTTGTCTGATATTAAAGCCTTGGCTCCAAGCTTACTTGAAACTTCTAGTTCTAGTGATATATATATGTATACATGGAACAAAACTTAATATGCTAAATTCTTCTCAAACTGTCTTTTACAGATGGGTAAACTTGTAGAATCATTATCAAAACAACTAGAAACTAAGGGAAGTGAGATCAACAAATTCAGAACAAAGTATAATCTAAAGATAAAGGGAGAGGAATCCAAGGAGATGGAGAAATCCAGTAAAGACGTGAAAACGGGGGGTGTTCTAGTGGCCAAGGAGAGTTAGCAAAGGGACACAACTCTAGGATGGAATGCTTCTGGTATAACTGCATAGTGTTCTGTTATTTCTACATCAGTGTAACACTGTAAAGAACTTCAACAAGACATAAGTGCTGGTTGTATTCATGAAAACAATGACATTGATCAGAATGTAAATTTAATCTCTCTTCACTTAAAAATGTTCATATAATTTTTCATCTTTTGTTTAATGGTGTTCAAAAAGACTGCACATATCTGTTCCAAGAGATTAGCACTTGTAATTCAGTGAATGTGTTCCTGATTAACTTACCTGTAATTAGGTAGATAATGTACACTTTTTATGTTGTCATTTTTTATTTTTTGACAGAGTGATACCTGTATATATTTAATACTTAATTATAGGGAGAAGAAGAAAAGCTTCATGTTCTAACTTTTTGGATGGCCTTTTTTTTTTTTTTTTTGTAAAACCTCATGTTAAAAAATTTATTCTTGTTTTAAGGAATAAAGAATGACATGTTGTTTTTGTAATGTTTCTAATTTGTTCTGTACTTGCTCAAGAAAAGAAAATAAGGAAATATGCTAATTATTAAAAGATAACTCCATGTGAATTTTAGGAATTTTATTTTAATACATTGTAGCTAATGTGCTCCGTTTACAAATAAACCCTGTATCTACAAATTCTGTTTTACATGGCTTTTTCTGCTTGTATTAATGTATTTGATAGTTAGTTTTATAATAGTTGAATGACTCTAATGTGGGTGTGGGGGGTTTTGAGGTATATTCCAGGCAAATAGCATTGGGGGAAAGGGGGGGGGGGCATTTTTTCCAGATACACCTGTATAAATTTTACCTATAGAAAATGTTCATTGAGAGTTGCCCCCCCCCCCCCCCCCCCGCCGTACTTCTTATTGCAAGATGGTCATCTAAGTGTATTGTATGCTTGAGTAAAACATTTGGTAGTGAAAAAATTTGGAACCTTACCCCCTTATTATGGCCTTTTCTGCTTGTGAAAATATATTTCATCATTATGATGCCTCACAGTGAAAGAAAAAGACGGCAACATGGGGCATTTTCTACATGAATATTTCATCGGAGGGGAGATCCAAACCCCCTGTCCCCCTCTAGGTCCGCGTATAGAAATTCCTAGACCTTGGGTATTTATCTGAGAGTAAAAGATGAAAGGGAGTTACGGAATTCGGATAGGACCATGTAATTCAACATCGCACCAAAGAGGTTAGAGTCGAAAGTACGAAGTGATTGCGCGATGATAATGATGTGGTGGAGGAACGATACAATGACGATGACGATGATGCTATAGCAGGATGAAGCGATATTCACCATCGTCATCGCGCCATGGCATTTTCTTTCTCGACCCCTTACGTACCCTTAGTCTTTGCTTGATGGTGTGATAGTGAGCTACGGAACACTAACATTGTGAATGTAACAAAAAGTTCATTTAAAGATAGATTGCTTAAGGTTGTTTCGTTCTAATCATCGGATTAAAACATCGGGTCCTTATAAATGCTTTCCTTGTCTTCTTTCTATTATTAATTATTTTCATGACGTATCAAAGATTTAATACTGATTTACACTAAACTTACAAGATATTTACGTAATATCATAAACATAGCAAAGTAAGATGTCATTATTAAAGAGCTGGGTTTAAAATCCAGCCTTTCCTATTGAACATAGTATCTGGTACCAAATCGTTTACGATAAATATTTGTCTGTTTAACACCAAAGCAAGAAGACACCGTGACCCCCGGAGATAGCGATCAGTTCATGTTGTACCAGGTCAATAATAAAAAACAAAACAACGGAAGACTCCTCGTAACAACTTAATTAAGTAATTAATGGCTTGAAGTAAGCAGTCATTGGACATATAATGATTGAGAAATGGATTTTAGCGGTGTTCTGTCTGGCTCTAAATGTCCATCTCTCAGGTATATTTCTTTTGTAAAGCAGCAAAGTCTAGGGTGTTTTTTAATTGTACATTTTACAATTAAATACTAAATCATTATTTAAAGCACATCGCTGAAATAAAAGATATTTCCTTATTTTTCTGTACGGTGTGTATATTTTCTTTAATTCATGTACGAAAATTGTGTAATCTACAAAACTCAAACCGTTAAACTTAAAAAATATTACCCTAGATTATCCGTAAAAATACAGAATTTTCTGGCAAATAAGGAGTGAATTTGCTAAAGAGTAGAGAAAATTCGTTTGGAAAGTATTTTGCTACATGTAGTCTGTAGCTGAATATCGTTTTGGTTACGATTATGTTTTAGGATAAGGAAACAAACGAGAAAGAAATACATGTATCTTTTTAGATTCAAATTCCTTTTTTAAAACATCTCGAACGCTAAAATATAGAAAGTTTATCATAATTTATTCAGATAAATAAATCATTTTAAAACGTGTAAAATATAAAATTTTAAAAATCTTTTCAGAGAGTACTACATTGTATTTGTAACGACATTCATAATATTTGTTTTCTACAAATTGAATATCAAGATTTTTTTTGTATTTGAATTATATGCTATACGATTGTGGAATCCAGGGGATGGGAATGGGGGATACCCTATGTTGAAAAAGATTAACTCAAAATTTTAATTTTTTTTATATATATTTCTCGAATCTGGCATTAAAAGAACATCGGTGCGCATATGTTGTGAGTAAATTATCTATTGTAGGCTTTAATTCTTTGTTTGCCTTCTAACACACCTTCCGAGTGTTTCCACTGAAGTATTTCAACTCTCCCAATAAACAAGTTGATTTAATAATATACGATTCCATTGTTAGGTTGATATAGCCAGATACGGAACAGCCACGCCTGATATTCATACGTGATAGAATTAATGAAAACTAACCCACCGTCAAGATTTTAACACGTCGTGAACAATGTTTGTAACCGTTATACTGTATTTAAGTTTAAATAGCACCGAATAATTTCAAAGTTTATTATCAGTGCAGTTCATCTTTAGGGAGGGAGTTTATGCATTAATTAGAAGATCTACATGCTTGTACAGATGGAATTTAGAAATAAGGTGTGTGATTTATAGATAAAGGTTTTAACTTCTTTTATCCAGATATATGTTTCTGTGTTTTCAATGTCATTGGTAGAACAGACAAATATAAGAGAGGTGCATTGTAATTGTAAACTTTTCAATCGACAACTTCCCTTACTTATGCAACAAAATACCTGAAAAACAAAATGTGTTTGTGAAACACCGATGCCCCCGTATGCAATCTGATTAAAATCAGATCCTTTGATCCGCTCACATAGATCGCTACACAAGGATCTGAAGGAACCCCATTCAGGGTCATCTCCTGGTGACCTTTGAATTATCCAATCAAATGTTCACTTTTGGAAATTGGAAAGTATCTCGGAATTCAGTTACAGAGGGGAAAAGCCCGGTGATGCACGAATGGAAAAACCGTGACCTAGTTCCTGTAGCCTGTCAAGAGAAGAACCAAAGTCTTTTCTGTACAGTAATATAATAAGTACTTGCTTTTGTCTTGTTTTTTAGCTCTTTGTTTTGTACGAAACGATAAGATCTTCTCCGCAGCTACTTTCACTTCTATATTCGTTTTCGCGAATGTCGCTTAAGTACGATCTCTCTGATTGGTCAAAATTTTCATGAATATTTTTTTTAGAAAGGTCACCAGGAGATGACCCTGGATGGGGTTTCTTCAGATCCTTGTGAAGCGATTTATGTGAGCGGATCAAAGGATCTGATTTTAATCAGATTGCCCCCGTATGGCAACATAGCGAAGGTTAAGCTTTTTCAAATGCATATCAAATATGTTGGTATCTAAAGTAAGACCTTTTCAGAACTACAAATGAGAAATATAAAACCCTAGCATCACCTGTTGGTTATGACTATGGTTAACATTTCTAAAGGTAGGAAAAACTCCGGGGTCAAGGTCAAAGGGTCAAGGTTGTTAGTTTCTAAAGAAAGGCCTTGTCTCAAAGATTATATATGGGAAATATGAAAGGGCTGGCCTTTACCGTTCAAAAGTTATGACCAAAGTTAAAGTTTGTAAAAAGAAAGTCGAACTCCAAGGTCAAGGTCAAAGGGTAAAGTTTGTAAACAGTAGATCAAACTCAAAGGTCAAAGTTGTTGAAATCCAACGAAACGTCTTCTCACAAGGATTACATATTTGAAGTATGAAAGCCATAGCCATTACCGTTCAAAAGTTATGGCCAAGGTTTAAGTTTTTTCGTAAGTACGGAAATCTCCAAGGTCAAGGTCAAAAGTCAAAATTCTTGGTTTCAAATGAAAGGTCTTGCCAAAAAGATTTGATATTTGAAATATGAAATTCCTAGTATCTACCGTTTAAAAATTAGGGCCAAAGTAAAAGTTTGCAATTTTTGTGCAAAAGTGGGTCAAACTTCAAGGTCAAAGGTCAAGGTTCTTGGTAACAAATAAAAGGTCTTCTCACAAGGATTGAAAGCCCTAGTCCTAACCTTTCAAAAATTATGGTCAAGGTTGTATTTTTAAAGTAGGTCGAACTCCAAGGTCAAAGGGTCAAAGTTCTTGGTATCCAATGAAGTGTCTTCTCACAAGGATTACTTATGTGAAGTATGAAAGCCCTAACACTTTCTGTTTAAAAGTTATACCAAAGGTCTTCTCACAAGGATTACATATGTGAAGTATGAAAGCCCTAGCACTTTCTGTTTAAAAGTTATACCAAAGGTTAAAGTTTTTTCATAGGAACTGAAATCTCCAAGGTCAAGGTCAAAAGGTCAAGGTTGTTGGTATGCAATGAAAGGTCTTTCTACTAACAATAAATATCTTAAGTATAAATGACCTGGTGTCTACTGTTCAAAAGATATGGCCAAAGTAATAGTTCAAAATTTTTGTGTAAAAATGGGTTAAATTCAAAGGTCAAAAGGTCAAATTTGGTGGGACACAATGAAAGGTCTTGTCACAAGGAATGCACATGTGAAAAATGAAAGTCATAGCTTCACTAAATCAAAAGTTATGGGCAAGGTTAAAGTTTTTGCGGACAAACAGACAGACGGACAGACAGAGAGACAGCTAGACAGACGGACGGACACGCTAAAAACTATATACCCCCGAAACTTCGTTTACGGGGGCATAAAAAGGCAAAATAAGCAAAAACTACTAGCAGAATTTGCAAAGTTGATACATTGTAAACTATTGTGAAAACTTTTAAGCTTTGATATAATGTAGTGAAAACTGAGAAACTTTGACCAAGTCTAGTAAAGACTGTAAAACTTTGATTTACAGGTACATTAGTGAAAACTTTGGATTTTTGAAACTTTGTTTAGTTTTACTATAGTAAAATTCTTTGATTTACAATAGTGAAAACTTCGGAACTTTGATAAACTATAGTGAAAACTTTAGAACTTCGATAAACTATAGTGAAAACTTTGATTTACTCAAGTAAAAACTCTGCAACCGTTTGTGCTTCTATGTTGGGCATAGCAAAGTTCTTAGTCCACTTAGTAAAATAGTCAGCGACTACCAACAGATACCGGCTACCTCTCTCTGTCTTTTTGTAATTCTCCTAGAATATCGGTAGCCACTCTCGCCATAGGAATCCCAGATTCCATTACCTTCATGGGAGCTTTGTTTGAAGCATTCGGACTTTTTTCCTTAAACATTTTTCACACCCTGCAACCTATGCTCTTACATCCTTTCGGCAACCAGGCCAAATATACTTACTTCGCACTTTTTCCAATGTCTTCTTGCGGCCTAGGTGTCCAGCCACATTAAAGTCATGGCAGAAAGAGTACCTTTCGCCTCTCGCTCCATGGTATTATAGCTTGAAAGACAGGACTTCCTTTTCCAGTTATCCACTTCCTGGCGTTCTGTACAGTTACCCATCTTTAATCAGTAACAAATTCCATTGTCCAACAATATCCCGAACATATATAATTTTTTTCCTGCTAGTTCTATGAAGTTTAGTTTTATCCAATCTTTTAACCATTTGACAATCAATGCAACATCTGTATCGTTTTCTTGAATACTTTTAAGGGACAAATCATCTGACATTTGGGCTTCATCCTCATTGTTCTTAATTGCATGTAGAGACTTGATTCCTCTTCTTGATCCCAACCAGTAAAGAAACCACATTGCTTGCAGGGTATCCTACTAAGAGCATCAGCATTTTGATGTTGCGCTCCTGGACGGTGTTCAGTCAACATATCATAGTAAAATACGTGTTCAGTATTTCCAGCCATCTGGCTAGTTGGCCCTTCCGGTTCTTGCTCAATAACCACTATATAGGAAATGTCTGAAAACTTTTACCAAATGAACAGCTGCAAGGAGCTCCTTCCTAGTGACGCAGTAGCTTCTTTCACTCTTAGACAAGATACGGCAAGGTAAGCAATGACTTTCTCATGACCTTCTTGTTCCTGAGAAAGTATAGTCCCAATAGTAGAATCTTTTTTTACTAGTACAATCGGGGAGGCTTATGGACTTGTCGAAGGTTCTATAATATTGCACTCTAACATCTCATTTATATTAAACTTTCAGTTTCTTTTGACAGTTTTTCTGTTTGCTGAAATGTTCCAATCTCTGTGTTCTTGTACACCACCTTTGGTTCGGACTCCACGTTCACTGGCAAAACATTATTCTTCATTATATTTCTTGGTTGAAAACAATTTTAGCAGTCAAGGGCCTATTTGCATCTTCTTTTCTTTAGATTCTACAATGCCCTGTGTTTGTCGATGTTCCTCATCAAAGATACATATTTCCCCTGATATAATAAGTTCACTCCGGGGTGGTATGCTGACCGTTTCTTTTTCTTAGCTGTCCATTGAAACTCTTATCACTGTTTTTCATTTTTGGGATCGCTACCCTCTAAAGTCTTTAAAGCCTCTAAAGTCTTCTGGCTACAAGATGTGTGTCTCTTGTTTTTCTCTAGATAATTTCGCTTAAATTGTCCATTTTATGACAACCATAGGATTCTATCATACTTTTATCTGGAAAGAGGTGACTCTTTGTAAGACTTTCTGTCCATTTGACCTCTGCCATGTCTGAGCTATCGAATTTCCTTGTTTATGGAAATTGTCAATTTTCTTTTTCACTGATGAGATCCAGTTTTTCATTTCCATTATGAAAGTCCCGTCATTAATGGGTACCTCTTCCTTTAAATGATATTGATAACCTTTTTAACCCCTCTTTTCCTCTGCTCTACGATAGCCTCTAGTTCTACTGCATGTTTAATGGCATCATTTAGATCTTTTGGACGCGCTTACTTAATCCTTATTCGCATGTTTAAGTAAGGTAAGCCATCTAGAAATTGTTCCATGGCCAAGGTTTCCCTTACCTCATATGGTGCTTTTGGATACGCCAAATTTGCCAATCTTTGAAAGCCTGTCCAAATTGAGGTATTGACTCTGTGGCCCTTTTACGCCTCTCCTTTAGCTGAACTATGTATAATTCAGTTTGGTTGGTAGATGCAAAGCGCTGTTCGAGGGCCTGCACAAGGTAATGATACTGGTAATCAGTGTTGTCACATGGCAAGTTTCCAAGAACTCCTTGAACCTGAACCCGAAGGGAAGCTGCGAGAAATAAGGATTTCTCCTGTTCCGCTCCATAAAATTTGCTGACTTTGTTAAAATGAGTCTTATAATCCAACCACGATCCATTGCCATCGTAGGTTGCGGCTTTGACTTCCCTTCTGTTTATTTTCTTAGCTGCATTTTCTGGGATACTTGGTCTTCGGTGACGCCTGTCTGTGATATTACCAATATCTTCTCTTTTCCGTAGGTCCTCTCTGTTGGTTTCATAATTTCTGGCCTCCATTTCCTCATGAAACCTTATCCCTGGCTGACAACTAGTACTCGGTCCATTTGCCTCAACATCCGAAAAATGGTCAGCCAAAGGACTCTTGGGAACAACAGACGATAGACCACTAGCAATTCCAGTGCCATATCTTCCACGAGTCTCATATCCACGAGGCCTTGGTGTTGAGTGTATGACACTCTCATGCTGCCGAATACTTGACTCTAGTCAAATGCAGAGATAAATAAGTATAATATAAAGAAAAATCGCATATATACTTACTAGTATTTAGAAATGATAAATGCAAATAGCGTCTTCATTTACTCTTACACCTTAACAATGCCAACAATGATGTACACTCTGTGGCATTCATAGACTAAATAATAATGAGTTTCTTTTGTTGCAGAGTCTTGGTGCCGACCGTTCGAGAGAGCGGACATATTTTTCATCATGGAAGACTCGTACAGCACTGACTATCAGTATAATGACTTTAGCACACAAAAGGCTGTTCTCAACAGAATCGTAGACAAACTTTACATTAACAAAGACAACGGGATAAGAATAGGCCTCGTCACTTATAATGTAGACGCTAAGTGTAAATTTGATTTAGACGACTACACGACAACTTCCACCATCAAAAGTGCAATCAACAGTGTCAGTGCCTCAAAGAATTCTTGGACCCACGAAAACGACACAGATTTAATTCACAAGGGCATTGTCGAGGCCCAACGTCACTTCACTTCCGGTAGGGGTGACCGATCTGACGCCCCCAATATCTACCTTTTCACGACAGATTCTATTTTTAGTGACGAGTTAACTAATAATAACCTTTATGATACAGCGTTGAATTTGCGAAATGCTGGTGAAAATTACATCTGGGCAATCGGCGTGCGCAGCGCCACTAGTCAGGTGGGCAATATCGTGGGGTCCGACGGGGGATCTCACACAGGAAGTACATGGGCAACTTTAAACTCAGAAACCGAAGCAGAAGCTTTTTACCAAAAGTTCTCCGGGTGTCCCACTGTGGATCCAGCTCTGTCAAAATACTGTAAGTAACAAGATGCCCAAGAAAAGCTGCTAATAGCGAAGTTTAACATAATTTCTCAGATGTAAGTCAAAATCAAAGGTCAAGGTCGAGAGATAAAAAATGTCATGGTTAAAGGGTCAAAATCGCTCGTTTTGTTTATAACATATGTCCTTGAGGGGATCTAGATTTCTAAGATCTCGGTTTTTTTTTTTGGCAAAATTTTATACTATACTTTTACAGGAAAAATGGGTTGTTACATGCAAAACATCTCCATTGTTTATTGTATATTTGCAGATTGTTTCCGACCTAATTTTTTATACTTTGAAGATCCGGCCCAGGCATCAGCTACCACTGAAGTTTGTGAAACCGAAACAAGTATGTTAAGATAAAGATTTTACAACCATTGGACTTTTCTTATCTAGTTTGTCCGTCGTCAGTCTGTCTCATTCTTAATATTTAACATTTTCAACTTTTCCACTAGAGATACGAGATATGTTTAAAATAAGCAGATTCGATGAAGCGTGATCCTATGCTTTCGCTATGTTGTATCAAATACGAACGTCCTATTATATGTCATTCAAAACATAATCACCTATGTTAATTTTTTATAAAAAAGGTCAAATATGAAGGTCAAGGATCAAAGATTATAGCATGCTTACTGGCAATGTTCATGTCAAATATGAAATTCCTTATTTATTCTAATCAAAATTTTGCAATTTAAATTAATGTTACAATTTTTGAATAAATAAAATCCAAAGTCATTATTTATATAAAGTAGGTGTGATGTTATTTGATGTGCAAAATGAAAGCCGCTGTCTCTTCATATTAATTGTTATTACCAAGGTTATAGTTTTATTGACAGATGGAATTCTACCCTTGCGCTGTAGGGAAAGTGGAATTCAAAGGCGAATGGGAATGAAAGATAAATAATTGTGATGAGCCATGGACCTCTTGTTCTTTTAAGGGCATAAATGTTGTAGAAATCATAGGTAATTCTATATAATATCCTGGTGTGATGTATTTGATGGATGATCCGCTGTTCCATATTAATTGCTGTGTTTCTCTCCCCTCGCCACATATCATTATAAAATGATTATATATATATCATTTTAAAGTTTAAAAAATGTATTGTAATGCTGAAGAATGTTCCAGTCTTAAAGATCTAAGTCAGCTTGAAACATATATCTCTCTTCTCATACTTTTCAAAGCAATTCTCAATGCCACATATCATTATAAAATGATTATATATAACATCATAGGGTTAAAAAATGTATTGTTAGGTTGAAGAACGCTAAGGATTATTAGATTTTTTATGTTTACATTTCCTGGGTATACAAAAATAAGAAATAATCTGATGATTTATTTCAGCATCTGATTTGAATGGCACCATCAAGTCCATCAACTACACGGTACCAGAGGAAGAGAGAATCTCCATTGTAGAGCATGACAGGATCGGATGGTGAGTATCAACTTAATCACGTGATATGTCGGTAAAAATAAAAACTGAATAAAAATGAGTAGGATGAAATAAATGACCACCCGACGGTGAATTTGTTAGAACAAACGGATATATAATTAATTATTCTGAAAAAAAGACAATTGATCAAAAACGATGGAAAACATTTATTATTTAATTTTCAGGCGCGTTTCGACACAGAACATTATATCTTATCAACCATGTGACCTTCTTAAAGACCGATTTTGTCCTCAGAATATCTACGCTACCATCCAATCGGATGATATTTATGAATACATGCAATTTGATTGGTCAGCTAGGTACGACAATGAAACCAATGAAAATGTCACAAAATTAACCAACAGAGGATATACTTTAAAAGTATATGCAAATAACAGTGAGTATTTTAATGGGTTTCTCGGATATTTAGAGTTATTCTAGTGAAAATAAGATTTAAAAAATACACAAGCAGAAAAGCGACACTAACTCGGAATACTTCCGGTCAGATACCCAGCTACAGTTTGAGGAGTCGTTGTACCTGACTGCCGCTGCAGATCATTGGCCAATAGGAACCAGTTTCTCATCGTATGAATTGACAGGTGTCGACTACAAAGAAAATATCACACTGACCTGGCAACAACCAAACGCTTATATTGACCTCAACGAATCCTATAGTATGTATATTATCAATTCTGGAGCTTCTGGTTTGCTATTGGTAACTAAAGTTCACTGTAATAAAATAAATTGTCTAATCAGTTACGGGGTCTATATGTCTTCAAGTTGATATTCTTTGACAGAAAAATATAAATTAACCGATAGAGAAAAAATAAATCTAAATTTTACCCAATGCTGCTGTGATCGTTTCAGGTTTTGTACAAGTGGCCCGACAGTTGGAGCCATCCGAGTCCGCGCAGGGAATGGCGGGATACAAGGCCATCCTGAGGGCCGTGGACACCTGTCGCTGGACCGCCTCTACCACCTTCTCTGTAGAAACCTTTAATGGGGTAAATTATCATGTATCAAGTTTTATTGTCCCTGAAACACAAGAGGTTATCAACACTAATTATACTGTAGCCTAAAACTCTTTCTTTAACGTTTTACTCGGGTATCCTTTTTTGAAGCTCAAACTCTTTATTGATACAATCTGCATTCTTGGATTTTGCATTGATTTAGTTTCTGAACAGGACCTTTGTGTTTATTCAGTGTATGTTCCGGTGTCTAAAGATGTCTTACTAGGTATAAATCCCCAAAAGAAAAGAATTTATACGTGAACAATGACAGAACTTCTATATCAATATTATTAAGAAAATCAAGTGTATAATTATTTGGACTTCCAATTAAAAAAACAAAAGTTTTTATAGTATTTCACTAATCAGCATGTTGATTTTGACTTCCTTTTTTAAGCCCCCAATTATTACAAATTTCCCCAAAGAGATGTCCCTCTTGGAGAACACAGGGGGTAACGTGTTCGTGTACCCGGTGGCTGTTTACGACCCGACGGTACCCCCGGACCCAGTTTGTTGTACCCTGGAGAGCGTGCGTCCCCAGACCCAGAACTTTGAGATTAGACTCGTCAACAATACAAACTTTCTCCTGTACACCACGGAGAAGCCGGTGTTTGACTACAACTCGTGGAACTCCTACATGTTGACCGTGTGCTGCGAGGACGGGTACGGGACGGTGAAAGGTATACTGAAGATAGACGTGGAGCAGATCAAGGAAAAGTTTATATATACACCACCAAGTATGTACTCAACTGGAATATAATGAATAGGACTGGATATATTGCAAACACTATTACATTTAGGAAAAATAACCACTTTGACTTAATTAATGTCTTTCTAGAATATACTTTCAGATTTTAATTTAGCAGGCTCTTCTTATACTTTTACCATAAAGTTATTTTTGCAATAAGAAATTGACCTTCAGAGATTCGCATTTACAATAATTCAGTGAACTTTGATATATTTTAGCCTGGTTCTACACCTCCATCATTGCCAGTCTGATACCGATAGGAGTCATGTACCTCACAGCCTGTATTCTTCTCATCGATACCATGTTCTTTGTAAACATCAAACACGTCGATAAAGATGACGAAGATGAGGAAGTCTCACATGTTCGCCTGGACATGGTTTAGCGAATAAAATATGAACCTATCATTGAACACTTCTATAGATGCATATTATTACTCAGGAACCATTCGCCAGCTTCACTGATCATATTGATGGGTTCATTTACATGATCCACCCGCACTGAGGTGAACAGATACTTCTGTAGATTGCGCAGTAAAAGAAATAACGATGTGTTAAAAAATGACACTGATATTAAATGTAACATGATTCATGAGAAGTATGTATAGTAAACCAAAATTGCTCAAATAATTATTTTTTTTTACTATACATGTATATTTTTATTGTTCATACCATTGTTAAAGGCAATACATATCCTGAAAGTACTGATATTCTTGTCATTTTGCACTAGTTTTGCCCCATTTTCATTTTTTTTTTTAGCTCCTGAGCTTTTCTGATCACCCGATGTCCATCGTCCGTCCATCCGTCCGTCTATAAACTTTTCACATTTTCAACTTCTTCTCAAGAACCAATGGAGCCAATTTTAACCAAACTTAGTACAAAGCATCCTTGAGTGAAGGGAAATTTAAATTGTTAAAATAAAGGGGCAAGTCCACTTACAAGCGGAGATAATCAAGAAAAGACAAAAATAGGGTGGGGTTCTTCTCAAGAACCACAGGGCCATAAAAGCTGAAACATGTGAAAGCATCCTTATTTAGTGAAGATTCTAAATTGTTCAAATCATGACCCTCGGGGATAGGGCGGGGACAAAATATGGAGTCCCAAGTTTTACATAGAAATATGTAGGAAAATTCTTTAAAAATCTTCTCAAGAACCACCGGGCCAGGAAAGCTGAAACTTGTGGAAGCATCCGTGGTTAGTGTAGATTCTAAATTGTTAAAATCATAACCCCCCTGGGCCAGAAAAGCTGACACTTGGAAGCATCCTGGGGGTAGTTAATATCTTTTATTATTAAAATCATGCCTTGGGAGGGGGGGCATAAAAGGCATAAAAAGAGGGGAAATCTGGTAAAGCAAAGTTACTCAGGTGAGCTGAGCGATGTGGCGCATGGGCCTCTTGTTTTAAAAAAGTCTATAATGGCTGTAAGTCATTCCATTCCCTTATAAAAAAAATCACGTGTAGGTATATTCGAAGGTCACTTGGTTTGATTCCACCATTTGCAGCCACTATGGAATACATGAAAGATATCGTAAGGCCATTCCAAGTTTTTTCTCTGTTTAGCGTCCACCCAACTTTCAAAAACCTACCTACCTATTCGCAAAAAACACACAAACCAAAACATAAAACACAGGCTTAAAAGTCATAAAAAAGACGCCCTTCAAATAATTTGATCTAACTAAACTGCATTAATAGAAGAAATATCTATTCTTAAGCAAAAACAAGGGATTAAATGCATAGAATACACCCAGTATAACTTACTGTACATAATTATTTGGAGAAATTGTTAAAAAATTTCGATATATTAATCAATTTCAAATTGTTGCTTCTTCTTAAAAAAACCAAGGCGCACGCGGACGCTCAAAACCCCCTGTACCTGAAGATATTTTCCAATTATAGAAGCACGTAGAAACACAATTCTTCAATTTCGCGTCAAAGGTTCTTCATATGCGTTAACAACAACGTTTGCATAGGTTGAGTTGACCCAAAAATACCCCGGTAAGAGCTAAAGAATTCTAAAATTATGTCCTTATGACCTTCGCACCTTCGTCCAACGATGCATTAACGTACACAGATAGGTCACTCTAGGTTTTACACAGAGAAATATCTGATCCAAACATAACTGGTTGATTGTATGTTGTTTTACGTCCCACACAAGTATTTTTCACTCGTATAGAGACGCACCTCCCTATTTATACCAGCGAACGGCTTCAAATGTCGACCTTTAATAGGCACCAAGGGCCATTGAGCAGTGAAAGATCTTGATTGTGCCAGCGTCTTTGCAGCAGTTACCCCATATAATACTGTTGGTTATGTGCAGATAACCCACACTTTTAACAAAAGAAATCACGGCTAACTATGGCACAACTTGCGATGGAACAGTTGCTACCTATTTTTTTTTATCGACTTAGGTCAGTTGCAGTCGGGGTCTTCTAATCACAAAGTGAGTGATCCGAAAATGATTTGACATGACATGTACTCTGTACAGAATATCAGAATTAGATTATGATGGCTTTCTCTTGTCTTGGCACTGGATATAAAACATTTCCCTTCAGATTTATCAACTGATCTGGTTTAATGGCTTTAGACCTCATATGTAAAACATGTGATACAGAATCAATTGGACTTTCATAGCAAAAAAAAACTCAAAAAGGAAAAGCCGTATACCCTAATGGATCCTATCAAAAGACGGATGTATTCGTGAGTATAAAAAATACTGATAGCTTAATAAAACCGACACTTGTGCATGTATTCTTATCTGATGTGACTTTTGCATTTGGTAGGCTTTATATTTACGACAATGTCCAATCTTTTTTTTTTATTTCGAAAACGAAGATGTAGTTAAACTCAATTTTTTTTTATCACAAAATACTAGTAGTACTGAGATCGTCAGCTATACATGTTTATAATATTTTTAAAAATACAGGACGCACAGCATGTTAATTGTAAAAAATACCAGTTTTGATACTCATCACCGGTATTAGTACAAACAAAATTTTATAAAAATATATTATCAGTGATGATTATATTATCCTAATTAAAGGCCTTCTGAAGCTCTGTGGCGAGAAACCTTCTCTGATAATCAGAAAGAGAGAGATTCAGACTAAGGACACGGTTCTTTGACCTCAGTGACGACAGAAGTTGATGACGTTCTATGGAAGTCAGTCTGCTGTGGTAAAGAGATTCTCCCGGAACTTCCTCATCTCTGACGTATAACACAAATACGTCACCTGCAAAGTTTAAAATTTGAATAATTTTATATATATGTAGACAAGTATGCATAGATTCTAACCGACAAAATTTATTAAAATCTGAATAATTTATTATCATTTTATGGACAGATTTTCTCAATCTTCCATCCTGTACAATTGGTTTTAACAGAATTACATATCAAATATGATAACTGTTTTTATCAGTTTATTTTGGTTTATAAATTCATACTTACATCCCATTCCGAGGATTGCCTCGGTGCTCTGCCTCCGGAAATCGCCGATCTCCTGATCCGGGTTCTCGAGGATAATATGGCGGCTATTGGCGTCCACAAAAACAAAAACTATCTTTGAAGGAGGAATCGTCGAGATTTCGTCTTCTCGTCTCACTTTGGTATGTCTAAACTAAATATAAAAGTTCTGAAACATTTACCTATATCAAAAATATAAATATGAACTTCTTATTGCATCCTAATAACGCATAGGATTTTCTGGTATTTAGTCAGACTTACTTTTACTGAAATCTTGGCTTTCGATGTAACAGAGTCAATAATTTCTCTATGGAGGTCACTTCCGGACTCGCCGAAGCTAACAATGCCCACTGTATTATCTAGTACCCGAGAGACCGGAAACCTTCTCGGAGTGTGCTGAAATATTTATTTTCAAAATTTAGTACATCTGTAAAAGATTTTGTTACTGTAAAGAATGAAAACATCCTGTATGCTTTTAATTAGCAATCGTGTGCCTAAAAGGTACTTATGAATTTAAGATTGTTGTGCTTAATTAACCGAACCGGAGAACAAATATTTACCAATCCAGCCTTGCTTTGTCTTAATGAAGGCTCTGGCGGGACGGCATTGCTTTGTGGAACTGACGTTGTTGTCTCTTTTACTTGATATGTCCTTTTTCTGTACGCATATACGCCTACTATGAACAACGCCCCGATAATAAAAACAAATCCTGCACCTAAAATGATATTTCAAAAAAATAAAATTGTTTTGTTTTAAATGCAAAACTTTACAATGTACAAAATAAGACATCCAGTTTATCGAATTAGAAACTTAACTCACATGCGACAATATCCTGTATGTTGAGGTCAGTCAAGGCGACCTTTCTGTCCAGGTCTGCTGTTTTTCTTTTTAAATACTCCGTATTCTTCGTAACCTCTGATAAATTAGTCGACAGGTGATCTACATCTTCCGACAGCTTCGAATTATCCCTTTTTAAACTTTCTATCAGTTCTCTTTGATGATCAATTTTCTTTTGATTGTCGGTGTTAATTTTTTGTAGAGTATTTAAACTCTCTGTCAATCTATCGTTTGCTTGCGAACTCTGATCTAAATAAAAACAGATGATAATCCCTTTATGTTCTTGAATACACATCAGATCAGAAACATCTATTTTTAAAATATAACACTAACTAAACTTAATTTAATGCAATAAGTATGTGTGATTAAAGACCCAGTCCGTTTTTCGAAGATAAATACATTTAAGTAATTACCTAATTTCTCCATAAATTTTTTCTCCAATTCCTGTGTCTTGGAATGAAGGGAAGATAAATTAAGTTTTAATTTATCACACATTTCTCTGGTTCTATGGTCCTTGTCTTTGTAACTCTTTGCCGTCCCTTCCAGCTGCTCAATATTGTTTCGAATTTCTTTTATCTTTTGCCTTTCTTCGTTCAATGTCCTTTCTAAGGCGAACAATTTTTGTTCGAATTGCTGTATATTGCTCTCCCTTCCAAAATTACAATCTTTTATCGTGCTTTCCAAGTCTCTTTGCAACTTGCTCAGCTTGTATTCCATTTCTACGAGTCTAAGGTTTTTATGTTCACGACTGAGTTTTGTGTGTGAAGATGGCGTACACTTCTCCTCAGCAGAATAAATATCCCTTCCGTGTTTTGTGTAACAGTCACTAGACTTTTTGCCATTTGCCGATCTGTAAATAAATGCATTTTACATGTAAACTAGAAATGTATACGTGTGGCTTGGAAGTATTATTTTAATTCAGAGTACCAGCAATTTGACAATGTTTCAGCCAATTTGGGAAAAAAATAACAAAAAATTCGATACGATACAATGAACGAAGAGAAAAAAAAAATAAAATTACTAGGAGATTTTAGTATCATTTTAGTACATTGTATATCTACTACATTGTATATATGCTCCATTGTCGACACACTAGTTTGTTTGGTTTTTTTTTTTTACCTATTTAAATTTTCCGGTCTTTCATCCTAATTTGTAAGATTCATTATTGTAATTCTGAATTGACAACGCATTAACAAGATCACACGACGAGTGTGATCAATATTCAGGGGATGCTCACTCTTCCATGGCACCTGATCCCACTTCTGATATTTTCAGAGATCCGTGTTTGCTCTGCTAAAAATCTGTATTATCTTATTTACTTTTTGAGCATGATTACTGTTATTTGTTTGTATAATAAAACTTCTTATAGAACATACATGTACTCTCTTTGTATAAGCTTAACTATTAATAGGAAAATTACTAAGCTTGTGTCTTTATATTACAGATCATTGAAAGCTTTCAATGCATTAAAAAAACACCGAAGACATAACTTTATAAGACAAATGGAAACCTACATGTATTTAAGTCAAAAAAGTTGAAAATAAAGATGTTGTAGCTTGTTCGTTTATGTGTTCACTTCTTAAAAAAAGACCTGTCAAGTTGAATTTTGGTTCTTATCACCAAAGGAAACAATTCCAGTGATGAAATATTTAAAAATTAGCTGTCGATGCATCGTACAAATCGATAAACTGTGGACATAATCAGATAATCATGATTCATCTATTCATAATTAAGGTTTCGTCAAAGGTCAACATGTCCAAAAAATTATTTTTACAATAGCCCCAGTATGTAAGGTATAAAGTTAAAACTTTTACAGTTTATAATTTTTTTATTGATTAACAGATAGAAAGTATCACTTGATAAAAAAAAATTACTTGGAATAATATTAATTGAGAAAAATTCTTCTTAAAAATGCATATATTTTCAAAAAAATACACTTAATTAATTCCGTGCTTTTAGTGAAAACACTCATTGCAGAAACAAAATATGTTTATCAATGAAGGGCAAGTTGGACTTGGATAGCCTCTGGAAAGTTGTTTTCCCTGTTCTGTTAAGACTTGAAAGTGAAAGTACACTGCAAATGGCGGATTCTATAGGGGTCTTGTCTTTATACATGTCATGCTTTCAATAACAGCCTTCCAGAGACCATTCACGTTCAACTTGCCCTTCAATGATAAACATATATTATTTCTACAATGTTGGTTTTCACAAAAAGGACAGAATTAAGCAGGTGCATTTTTTAAAATATGCACATTTTCTGATAAAATTTTTCATAAAAAAATATCTTTTTAAAATATTTGTTATCAAGTAATACTTTCTATCTATTAATCAGTGATATATTTACAAAATGTAAACGTTTTGACTTCATACCACACATAGTTTTGGAGCAATTGTAAAAATAATTTTTTAGACATATTGATCTTTGACGAAACCTTAACTGCTTAAATGTACACGACATGAAACCTATAGACAAAAACAGGATTTTTATAAACTTTCCTCCTAGCTTAATTATTATGAGATCTTCACGCCATTACCTGAATATTAAGAACAGAATGAAAACTGCTGCGACACAAGTTTTAATAAAATCCAACGTTCCCGTTCTCGCCATTCCCATAACAAAGTGTTCAAACCCCCACAATCTCTAAGAACAGCATGCACATGAAAAGATAGAAAGTGTGATTTTCAGATTAAATCCATCTAAAAACAATAACGACGGATGTCAATGCAACCTAATTCAATTTCATTACAACTTGTCAATTTCTCAGTGAGTTAAAACGAAAGTCGCAAAGAATTTTTACTTTCGGTTTAAAAGTTGAATCCCAAACCCGACTCTCAGTATCGGATTAGGTCAGGCCCCAAGCTGGACCATAAACTGAGAATAGACTTGTGTATCAATGAATCCAAATCTTTCGTTGGGTACCGAACATATCCCACCTTTCGACCCAGGTTCATTACCGTTTAACCATTATAAAGACTAATATGGATTTAATAATTCTACAAGTGGCAATCCAAATTATACTCATATTCATACGTAATCGAATTTATACTCACAGTTCCCTTTCTAAGAAAGAAATTCTTCAAAATCATGCGTCAGTTTTGAATATTTTTAATATCCCGAAGAACAAAAATGAATTTGAACTACCATATTTATATATATATATATATATATATATATATATATATATATATATATATATATATATATATATATATATATATATATATATATATATATATATATATTTGATTCCAAAACTTCATAAGAATCATTACAAACAAAGATACATTGAGGGTTCAAGTAGATGCACATAGTTATGATAAGCAAGAGTGCCTCTACCAAAATTGTGAATTTTATGACCCTAGGGTCAGGGGTTCTGGTGTTAGGGCGGGGCTCTATTGGTTATATAGTGAAAATGCATTTATTCTTTGAAAATCTTCTTCTCTACTTCTGGGTATTAAATAAACTAACTAAGTACATAGTTATGTTGATCAAGAGTGCCTTTTTCAGAATTGTGAATTTTTTGTCCCCAGGGTCAGGGGTTAAATGTTAGGGTGGGGCCCTATTGATTATATAGTGAAAATGCATTAATTCTTTGAAAATCTTCTTCTCTGCTCCTGGGTATTCAATAAACTATCCAAGCACATAGTTATGACGAGCAAGAGTGCCTCTTCCAAAATTGTGAATTTTATAACCCCAGGGTCAGGGGTTCTGGTGTTAGGGCAAGGCTCTATTGGTTTTATAGTGAAAATGCATTTATTCCTTGAAAATCTTTCCTTTGCTGCTGGGTTTTATGCCAATGATCCAAGTATATATATTTATGATGAAGAAAGTTGCATCTAGCAAAATGGTTTTTTATGCCTCCCCCCGCCCCTGGGTCGGGGGTGAGGGGGGGGGGTACAAAGTCTGAAAATAAATTAATGCTTTGAAATCTGCTCTTTGGTATTAATCAACCATTTTATGATAAAATTTGCACAATTTTGAAATATGTGGCCCCAGGTTCAGTGGTTCCTTTGGGATGAGGTGCACAACTTGTTATAAAGTGGAAGTGCATTTTCTCTTATGTTACTCTGATCTTCCTCTGGATATTACGTATTACAAAATTGTGAATTGTGAATTTCATGGCCTCTGGTTTAAAACACGAACCAAATTTAATTGTTTGAAAGTTGTTGCACAATACTCAGGTGACCTATAAGGCCCGTGGGCCTCTTGTTATATTCATATGTTCTAAGCGGAATTTGCGCAAAATCTTATGCGTGAAAAAAGAAAACACTTGCTGTGGCCTTCATCTCGACATTTAGATATATCGACGACGTATTGTCAATTAACAATGATAATTTCCATTCCTATGTCGATACTATATATTCTGGTGAGCTTGAGATAAAAGATACCACAGAGTCTGACATATCTGTTTCATACTTGGATATTTTACTTGAAAATGGCGTTAATGGTAATCTAACAACCAAGCTCTATGATACATGTATACATGATGACTTGTAACTTTTCTACCGTCAACTTCTTATTTATGCAGCAATATATATACCTTCATCACCTGCATACGGAGTTTTTATATACATCTCAGTTGATTCGATACGCAAGAGCATGCTGTACGTATGTACAATTTCTAAAACGAGGTAAATTATTGACAAACAAGTTGATGAAACAAGAATTTCAGCTGTTTCGTTTAAAGTCATCATTTCGTAAGTTTTATGGTCGATACAATGACCTTGTCAGCAAATACGGTTTATCATTGAGTCAAGTGCTGACTGACGTTTTTCATGCTAGTTGTTAGTCCATTATTTATACACTGAATTTACGACGGAGTTTCCCGATCACGACAAGGAGCACACGGCGTGTGTGACCGGTCGGCAAGGGATGCTTACTCCTCTATGGCACCTGATCCCACCTCTGATGTTTTGGAGGTCCATGTTTGCTCTGCTCTTTTTTGTATTGTTTCATGGACTTTGATATTGAATACTGTTCGTTATCTCCATATCCTTAATGGACCAAACGTGCATGGGTTATGCATCTACGGGTATACAGTGCGGGTATACAGTGCCCGACTGTTTCAGATGCTGGATCTGGCCCATATTTTCTAAATGATTGATCTGGTTGTAGTTTTTGGAGCTTTTCCATTTCAAAGTAATATTACTGCCTTTTAAATTGTCATATCTATATTAAATTCCGAAACTTTATTTTTTTTTTTACAAAGATACATATCGATTTACAATGAAATTATTGTTCTACCAAGCTCTTTCTTTACTTCTCACTGAAATATTTACAGGCGTGTATACAGGTGTGTATACTAAAAAACGCCAAGGAACTTAGGAAAATTTGAAATCACATTTTTCCCCAAAAATCAATAGCATAAAAACTCACGACTTTTCAACTCCATTTACAACCAATTCCCAGGGTAAATTTAAGTCCAGGCTCTTTGACAGTATTGACAGCTGCGTTTTTCAATAAAAATCGAACTCATAAATTTACTTACCTTGGCATTAGTCATGTTAGTCATTTGCAAAATTGCTTTATAAAAAACATTCTGATTGTACACACATGTGAACAAAAATTGATATTTAAGATATGCTTGAACTTTTTATTTATTATACTTTTACTGATGTGGTTTTGTAAACAAGATCTTCCAACAATTTGTTGGAATTCCTATACTACATCCCGTTAATAAATAGCAAACATTTGTGTATTTATATCAATCAAAATTTATTCAGAATCTTATATATGACACGAGAACACTTGCTATGGTCTTCAATTCATTATTTAGATATAGTGACGACGCACTGTCAATAATCATTCATAAATTGACTCGATGTATCTCAGTAAGCTTTAGATTAACCAAAGAGTGTCAATTCTGTTTCGTATTTTGAAATTTAAGTAGAAAAAAAAATAAACGGCGACCTAACAACAGAGTGTTATGATAAATGTGATGACTTTAACTTTTCAATCGTTTAACTTCTCTAAATTATGCAGCAATATATACTCTTATCACCTGCATATATACAAAATTTATGTCTCCCAGTTGAGCTCTACGTTTGAATACTTTCTAAAACATGACGAGGAACATACGGAGGAATTGACAGGTTATGTTATCTCCTCCATGGCACCTGATCCCATCAGAGGTTCGTGTTTCTCTGGTCCTGAGTTGTTTGAATGGACTTTTGAGTTCTTATACTGTTTGTTTTCTGAATATATTTCATTAATTAAAATAAATTTTCTTTTATTTGGATATATTTTTGAACCAATCTTAGGATTTTTGTCACTTTTAAGACCTTTTATGAATGAGTTTTATTGTCCTATTGTAAATGGTGTTAAAATTATACGATAACATTGGATTTAATCAATTGCAATTATTCAAAATTAACAACTGAACATTCATTGTTTTTACTGTAAATTCGATTACGGATCTAGATATAACCCTCTTCCCCGATTGCTTTGTGATAAGTTTAAATAAAATATTTAAAGGGAGTTGAAAGAATGAAATTTACGGAAATAACAAACAGTATTCAAGCTCACAAGTCCATTTATCAATACAGATTTTAGAGCAGAGTAATTATGGACCTCTAAAACATCAGAGGGAATCAGATGCCATTGAGGATTTAGTTTCCCCTGCCGAACGATTATATCTGTGATGTGCTCCTTGCCATGATCAGGAGATAGCGGAAAAGTGCGTCCACAATGCAGTGTGTAAATTATGGTGTAATAATGAATATGAAAAACGTCAAATATTCATATATCATCAAATTGTTTGTCAATAACACCTCTTTTAAGAAATTGCTCATATGCACAGTATGCTCTTGCGTAACGAATCAGCTGAGAAAACTCATCGAATAGTAAACTCCGTTTGTAGGCAATGCAGGTATATTGGTGCATAAGTAAGAGAAGTTGATGATTGAAAAGTTAAAGTCATCATGTTTATCATAAAGCTTGGTTGTTAGATAACCATTATGAAGAAGCAAAATAAAATTGACAGACCTAAAGAGACGACAGGCATATTCATTAGGAAAGTTTCCGTACATGGTTCGAATGATTTTAAAATTAAATTATTATACCTTTTTTTTTAAAGAACACCAATTCAGAAAAAAATTGGTTTTAGTTGTAGGAAATAATCAACCATCCGTCAGTTAAATATTTAAAAATTCTAAACCATATAACAGTAATTTTTTTATTATCTGAAAAAAAAAAACCTTTGCTTAGATAAAAGCATCACAATCCAGAATTCTTCAGAAGCTGCTTAATATGTTCATTTTGATTTTGATTGAAATTGTCCATCACAGAGAACACACGCCCCTTTTCCTGTAATTCCCTCAATACGGGATGTCGTTTGACTGACTGTAGGAAGGGATTATACAGGTCACGCCCATCTAAATTCCGAGACTTTCTGTCATTAACATAAACTACCACAACAGTAGCTGTAAATAAAAGGATATTAATCAATTTCAAGATAGTGACATGCCGGTATTATATACATGTAAATGACTTTTCAATATTTTAGAGTTTTTTTTTTTAATAAAAAAAAATACCCGGTATATGTCTTCAGAATATCTAAAGTTTTATTTCTTAGAAATAATTTACAGTTGATGCTTGAGAAAAAAAAATGCAATAAAATGTTTTTTATATTTATCAATTTAACTTTACTAGTATACTAATATACCGAAGGAGATCAAGGTTCGACCAGGAACTTTCTTTTTTACTTTTATAAACTTACATCCCATCTTCATAAAACTTTGTGTTGTTATACGCCTGAGGTTTCCAATCTCTGATTCTGAGTCTTCAAGAATAATATTTCGATCATTTCTATCCACAAAAATAAACACTAAACATGAAGGTTTTATCGTCAGAATTTTATCCTCCCGGTCTACAAGTACCGCATCAATCTGCTTATGAAAATGAGTCTATAAGGAACTGATACATAATTATTATACATGCTAGTTACAAAAAATATAATTTTTCTGTAAATCAAACTTCAAAAGTCAATCTTAAAATCACCTCAGTATTTATATCCATCGTATCTAAAGCGCGCTGGAGCATTTCCTTGTGGATTTTATGTGTCTTATTGTTGAAGCTAACAATACCAATTGTTTTTTTTAATCCATTGGGATGTATTTGATCAAGCACAGAAGTATTCTGTAAATACAAGGTAATATAATTTTATTATATCTTGATGAAGCGATCCTACTATAATGACCGTGTTTCTCTCAGTGCACACATGTAACCAAATCTTACCGTTCTGCCACCCACTTTGCTTTGGAACTGAACAGAACTTTGAATTCGTCCTGTTGAGATACTAGTAGGTTGTGTTTCTCTGCGACGCATAATTAGAACCATTACTCCAAGGAATATCAGCAGGAATACAAATAGGAATAATAGAATATAGTTACCTATCAAAAACAGAAAGAATTTTTTTTTTACAAATGCAAACAATCCTTGTGTGAAAATACTAGTACACATGTACAAAAGTGTTTCTTTTTTTTTTTTATAATTCTTTATATTTGTTTTACACATTCTATTATTTAATACAATAAAAGATTAATAACAAATACAGAAGGTGTAATTTTTTCTTTTTGGAAAGAAGAGAGAGAGGAGGGGGAAGAAGAGGGGAGAGAAAGATAGAGAGGTGGAGAAGAGAGAGAGAGAGAGAGGAGTACGTGCATGCATTCACAATATTTATATTAATCTAAATATTCATTGAAATAAAAGCTTCCAGTAGTTCCAGCAGGTATCAAACATATCCTTTTCACCATTTTTGTATGCAATATATTTTTGAGTTTCATAAAATGTATTCATAAGCGATATCGCAGCAGGTACATTAAGTGTTTTCCCTGTGCACCTCATTGTGTAGATATAATATTTAAGCCATAGAACGAGTGTTTCAATAAATAATGCAAATATACGATATAAAAACAAGAAAATGCATGAGAGGCAGTCTTGTTACACTTATAACAATAACAATTACACCCCCAAGTATTCCCTTTTAACCTTTTACCATGATAACAAATCACCTAAGCGTACTTTTTTAAGGAGGTTCAATTGACACCAATAAAAAGGTTTTTCTAAGGCATATTGAAATGCCATATTTTGTCCTTTTTTCTTTAGTTTTTTTTAATAAGATCTTCTAATTACCGATATTTAACAAACAAGAGGCCCACGGGCCTTATAGGTCACCTGAGCATTCTGCAACAACTTTCCAGTTATTGAATTTGATTCATGTTTTAAGCCAGATGCTATATGGCATTCACAATTTTGAAAGAGGCACCATTGATCATCATAACAATACACTTTGCAGTTGCTTAGGTTGGTTTATTGATTTAAATATGCCCAATAATAAGTTCATAGGATCTTCATGAACGTTTCATGAACATTTCATGAATAAAATGCATGAAAAATTCAAGGAAATTCATAATCACCTCGCAAGGGTACTGATACCCATACGCAAGGTAGGGGGAAAAAATGCATTCCAACTGATCAGTAATATTCAGCAATAATCAGTAATGCCCCTAACACTGTGAAATAAACCCCTGACCCTAGGTCCACACATTGCACAAATTTTAAAAAGGCACCGTTAAAATTGTTTATCAAAAAATAAATAAATGTTTTATAAATACAAGGGAGCAGATTTCAAACAATTAATTCATTTTCAGTATATAAGTAGAGCCCCACCCCCACCCCTGACCCTGGGGCCTTGAAATTCAAAATTTTGCAAGATTAGGGCCCTTGCTCACCATGACTATTTAGGTAGTTCATCTGCTTCATACCCAGTGACAGAGAAGAAAATATTTCAAAGATATAATGTATATTCACTATATAATCAATAGAGCCCCCCCCCCCCCCCCCCGAACCCCTGACCCTGGGACCATAAAATTCACAGTTTTGGTAGAGGCACTCTTGCTCATCATAACTATGTACTTAGTTAGTTTATTTAATACCTAGGAGCAGAGAAGAAGATTTAAAAAAATTCATGTATTTTTACTATATAATCAATAGAGCCCCGCCCTAACACCAGAACCCCTGACCCTGGGACCATAAAATTCACAATTTTGGTAGAGGCACTCTTGCTCATCTTAACTATGCACTTTGTTAGTTTATTTAATATCTAGGAGCAGAGAAGAAGATTTTCAAAGAATTCATGTATTTTTACTATATAATCTATAACCCCCCCCCCCCCAACACCAGAAGCCTTGACCCAGGGACCATAAAATTATTCATAATTTTGGTAGAGGCACTCTTGCTCATCATAACTATGCACTTAGTTAGTTTATTTAATACCTAGGAGCATAGAAGAAGATTTTCAAAGAAATCGTGTATTTTCACTATACAATCAATAGAGCCCCCCCCCCCCCAACACCAGAACTCTAGGCCCTGTGGCCATGAAATTCACAATTTTGGTAGAGGCACTCATGCTCATCATAACTATGCACTTAGTTAATTTATTTATAAATATCTAGGAGCAGAGAAGAAGATTTTCAAAGAATTCATGTATTTTTACTATATAATCTATAAAGCCCCCCCCCCCCTACCAGAACCCCTGACCCTGGGACCATAAAATTCACAATTTTGTTAGAGGCACTCTTGCTCATCATAACTATGCACTTAGTTAGTTTATTTGATACCCAGGGGCAGAGAAGAAGATTTTCAAAGAAATCATGTATTTTCACTGTATATAATCAATAGAGCCCCACCCTAACACCAGAACCCCTGACCCTGGGGCCATAAAATTCACAATTTTGGTAGAAGCACTCTTGCTCATCATAACTAACTACTTAGTTGGTTTATTTAATACCCAGGAGCAGAGAAGAAGATTTTCAAAGAAATAATGCATTATCACTACCTACTTATTTAGCCCTGCCCTAGCACTAAAACCCCTGACCCCAGGGCCATGAATTTCACAATTTTGGTAGAGGACTCAATGCTGATTACAATCATGCAAACAGTTTGACTGCTTGATGTCCAGGAGTAAAGAAGAAGATTTTTAAAGATTGCATTAATTGTAGTGGTTTTGGCCCCACCCCTCAGGCCCCAGGGGGGCAGGGATCATGAAATTCACAATTTTTGTTCCCCTTCACCCATAGATGCTTTGTGCCAAATTTGGTTGAAATTGGTTCAGTGGTTGCAGAGAAGAAGCTGAAAATGTTCAAAAGTTTACGAACGATACAAATACGACGTACTACTATAAAACAGATAGCAATAGGTCACCTGAGTTTACTCAGGTGACCTAATAAGGAGGATGGCCAAGATTTATTAACGTTCCTTTCTTCAAAAGTTCCTTATTCCCTTTATATTTCATTTGCTTATTTGCAGCACGATTGTCGAGCAAAGTAAAGTTTACTCGCGGACCAGTATTTGAACTTATGTTACAGAAAATAAAAAGTTAATAGTTGAAGGTCGAAAACGAGTGGTTTTCTTTATCTTCCTATTCAAATTAATTAGGAAATATTCAGGATTCAAATCTCGTTCTTTATAGTTGTCAGAAGCAATGCAGTAATTATCTTTGGTAATTGAAATCATTTTACAGGTCATCAAGAACGATGTGAGACTCACCATGTTCTGTCTGTTCCTGCTCCATCCACTTTAGCTTCCCGTCCAAAAAAGGCAGTTTCTCCCTCAAATACTCTACTATTTGTTTAAGGCCTTCCACTGTTTCATTCAGTTTGTTTATCTTGCCTTCTATTCTCTGTATATCTGTTTCTTGATTCTTAACTCTTTCACTGAGCTTCAAATTTTCCAGTTTTAGGGCATCCAATTCAAAACTGATAGCAGAAATCTTCTTTAATACTGAAATTGTCCAAAGAATTACTACTTTATCTAAATCCCTTACCAAACTTGTTATACTAATATCAAGGTTATATTTGAGAAAACCATATAGAAAGACTCGATGAATAAGCAAACACTAGGATTAAAATTTGAGGAGGATATTGTTCTCATTAGTTAATTTACCTTTTTCGGGTGTTGGTGGTATTGGAATCGGGGAAGAAGGTACCCGTGAATTCATCACCATATATAACAACAGAAGAATTAAAATGCTGAAAAAGTAAATATCGATCTTTAATGAAGGATACATACAAACGAAAATTAAATCAACTTTATGGATTGATTGTAACCCTTACCCATACATGACCAATACTACTGTAACTGCTTGTGTTTTCATTTTATCATTCCAGGAAGATTTGCTTTTAATATTGCCTTCTGGTGTTTGTGGAACTCTAGACCCATACTCTTGATTAGAAAAATCGTCACTATTTTTGGAAACTTCTGTATTCTCAATGGGCTCTGTGTCACTATTTGACTTTCCTGCAGTGTCCTTACTGTCATTAATTTCATCCATTTCTCCCGGAGAAATTTTCGCATTGTCTGGGACATTGGTAGGACTTCCATCACCATGACATTTGCTCTCACATATTGTCGTAGTGCCTTTATCATCGGTACTACTTTCTGAAGTATCCTCATTATTTTGAATATCTTTGCCAGAATAGTTACTTTGGATACTTGTATCATTATGTTTGTGTTTAGCATCATCATTGGGACTGTCTCGGTTCTTTTCAGCAGTACCTGTAGCATTTTCAGTATCTCTCTTGGATTGATCGTCTGGGACGTTAGGAGTAATCATCTCAACAGGTTTGTGTGTTGCGTCATCATTGGGACTGTTTCGTTTCTTTATAGTAGTATCTGCGGCATTTTCAGTATATCTCTCAGATTGATTTTCTGGGACGTTAGGAGTGTTCATCTCATCAGTTTTGTGTGTTGTGTCATCATTGGGACTGTCTCGTTTCTTTTTAGTTGTATCTGCGGCATTTTCAGTATATCTCTCAGATTGATTTTCTGGGACGTTAGGAGTGTTCATCTCAACAGGTTTGTATGTGGTGTCATCATTGGGACTGTTTCGTTTCTTTTCAGTAGTATCTGCGGCATTTTCAATATCTCTCTCAGATTGATTTTCTGAGGCGTTAGGGTTGTCTGTGGCCCCATCACTTACTGGGTTATTATTACTGCTTTCAGTTGCACCTACAACATTTTCATTGTTTCTCCCAGACTGATTGTTCCTGATGTCATTAGCAGCTCTAACATCCAGGGCATTATTGGTAGTTTTCATCTGCGACGATGGTCTAGGGGATTTTTCAGATTCTTTGTTATGTTCTTGTCCCAAGCCTTCTTTTAATTCCACATCGTTATTTCCAGTAGACATTGTCAATCAAATTATCTTCTGTAGTTTAATGTATAATAGACCTTAGACCTAAGATGAAAGTAAAGTACGAGGTAAGATTCTACTTTAAAATGAAAAAAATCACAAAATCAATAAATTGTTATAATACAGGGTATTACATCTGTACCAATTAGAAACTGGTATTCAAAGAATCAACTTTAGAATCTGTTAGTGTCCTATCTACATGATCATTATTGGAGCTTTTACTCTAGTATGGAAGGTATAAACACCAAATACAGGTGATAGCGGGATATTACTACATAAATATGAAAATTTGACATTGGAAAAGTTTAAGTTACATGCATTTCATAATTTTTAAAATAATTGTTAGTTGGCCTTAGATTGTCATCTAAAGTCAGAGAAACATTGATCATAATATAAAACAGATGTGGCAGACACCGATATAAAAGATATTTTGTCACATAAAAAAACTAAATAAATATCTAAAAACTACCAAAATACACCTTGAATATTTCAAAGATACATATAATGCGATTACATACACTTTAACTATATATATATAGACGTAGGATATACATGCCGAATGTACAGCTTTTGCCATACAGTACTATCAGTACTTTGATTTTTCACCCTTTGTATTATAATTATGATGCTCATGCAGGTGCAAATTTTGGCAACATAATCTTTAAGATATTTACATAATTAAAAGTATAAAGAATCTACAACATAATGATAATAATATAGAAATGTATTAAACAATGTGGGAAAGGCTTCATTTGTTTATCGAAATCGAAAGTAAAAAAAAAAAATAAAATATGAAGTTCAACAATCTCATTGAAGTGATTGACGGCATAATAATCAATAAATAATTAACTACCCCGGTAAGTAACCTTTCTATTCCTTGTAAAGTATTTCTTTAAAAAAAAACTATGGAAATTTTACTTACATTCCAAACGCCACATAATAATTATGTTAAACTAAGTAACTCTTCTTTCGTTTTGTACAGAGTACCGAGCCCGATTTTCTAATCTATCTACACCTTTCGTCTTTGATGAACAGTCCCGAAAAAACGAAAAGAGAGTACATAGGTGGATACGGTTAGCTGAAATATCTAACCAAATCCTGATTTGCTTTTAGTAAAACGGGGGAAATAAGTTTTGGTAACTGTACAATTAATCAGGCCAAATATTTCAAGCCATTAATTGATTATTTAATCTATTTAAAACATGTAAAATAAGGACCATAATTCGTACCCATGTATTGTTATTGTTGCATTTTCTTTATTCAACTTTATTCAACTTTTATTGAGAAAATGGTTTCAATATGTAAAAAAATATATGTATCAATATTTCAAGTTTGAATTAACTTAGATAGATACATGATCAGCGTCCCTGCTGACGAAGCAGGTAACAACATTTTTTTTTTTTTGGTAAGGCTCATTAAAATATAAACTGTATTTAAGTAGAGCTACGATTGAATTCTACAATGGTAATCCAACTTATACTCATAGTTCCCTTTCTAAGGAAGAAATTCTTCAAAATCATGTGTTTTGAATATTTTAAATATCCCAGAGAACCAAAATGAATTTGAACTACCATTATATATATATATACATATATATATATATATATATATATATATATATATATATATATATATATATATATATATATATATATATATATATAAGATAAGATAAGATGTTTATTCGGTACTTACAGGCCGTTGCCCACTGTACATATATAGGCATCATATACATATGTGACATAAACATTTAATACAAAGTGCATCGCAGGAAGAAAACAAAAACAAAGAAAAAAAAAGGAATAATACTAAGTTGTGTTACCAAAGTTCATCATAGATCATAAGGTTAACATTTCTTGTCTCATGGACAAACCTTTCTTTATGAAAACAGCTGTACTTTTGAGAACATTTTTGTCTTTGCTATTAAAAAGCTGATCAATACAAACTGATACATCTTTTGTTTGTGATGGACAATATTGAGACAAAAAATTTCTTCTCAAATCTCCCAACATCGGACAATAAAAAAGAAAGTGTAATTCATTTTCAATTTGTCTCAGGTTACATAGTTGACATAGTCTATCTACACAGTCAATGCCTTCAAATCTACCCTCTTCAATACGTAGTTTGTGTAAGGAACACCTAAAAGAAGCTAATACCTGTTTTAGGGGGTAGCTTAGAGAGGAGAGGTAGCTCTCACATGCAAGCTGTTTTTTAAACATAGTATAGAACGCACATTTTGGTGAGTCTGATAATTGTGTATTCCAGTTTTGTAGGGCGCAATCTCGCATCCTTTGTTTTAATTCCGAGAGAAAGGCCTTTGGATATCCAGGTCCACCACTTAGCCAGACATCCCCGAAGCCGTAATGATTTAAAACTGATTTCAATTTAGATACCCAGTTTGGTGTTAAACGATTACTGTACGAATCCAAATTGCAAAGCATCTGAAAACACTGCCTTGGATATCTCGAAGTTTCCATTTCTTGTAGTTTTAACCAGTATTTCACTGGTTTCATCATGTACGTCACACACAATGGAAGTCTTCCACATTCTCCTCTTGCCATTATATTAGTAGCTCTTCTGTTTATTCCCAATATCCACTTGCAGAAGTCGTTCTGTACAGCTTCAATCTCTTCGATGACATCTGTTCCCCAGACTTCTGCCCCGTATGTTAGGATCGGAACAATAATACTGTCAAAGAGTTTGAAACACACACTAGGTTCACGATTATTCAAATTTTTCAAGGTGTGCTTCAATATATTTAACGCTTTTCGTGCCTGTAGTGCTAGTGACTTGCAGCATTGGGACCATTTCAGCCTACAAGAGAATGTGATACCAAGATACTTGTAGTAAGATTCCACTTCCATAGGTTGTCCATTAAACATCCATTTTTCTGCACCTGCAACTGCTCCGCCTCTCTTGAAAACCACTACTTTTGATTTGTCCATATTTACTGTTAAGTTCCATTTTGAGCAAAACTTTTCAAGTATATTTAGTTTTCTCTGAAGACCGTTAACTGTATCTGATATCATAAGAAGATCGTCTGCAAACAGGAGGGCAATTATGTCCAATATTTGGTCTGTAATGTATATCCCTTGACACTGCGAATCACGTAACATCTCAATGAATTCATTTATGTACATTGAAAATAGCCATGGGCTTAGTATGCAACCTTGACGAACACCGACATTACATGTAAAGTATTCAGTGATTTTGTTTCCAATCTTAACGCAGCTCAATACATGCTGGTAAATCGACTGCAGTGTTGTAATCATCTTTCCATGTACACCTTTATTGATAAGGCAGTAAAATAATTTTTTACGGTCGATAGTCAAATGCTTTTGAGAAGTCAATAAAAGCACAATACACTTTCCCACGTTTTTTTGTTAGGTATTTCTGCACTATCGATTGTAGTGTAAAGATATTATCAATTGTAGAATATCCTTGGCGGAATCCAGCTTGTTCCTCAGGGATAAGTCCCTGGGTCTCCGACCATAAGTTTAGTCTTTTATTTAAAACTGATGTGAATATTTTACTACTGGAATCAAGTAGTGAGATTCCCCTGTAGTTATTGGGATCTTCTCCGTCTTCTTTTTTGAAAAGAGGAATAATCACTTTTTTATTCCAAGATTCTGGAAACTGACCAGAGTTGAAAACTTGGTTAAAAAGTTTCCGTAGGAGGTCTCTCACGTTTTTGTTGGAATATTTGTAAAATTCATTTGGTATTCCATCTTGTCCCGGACTTTTGTTATTTCGTAATCCCTGAATTTCTTCTTCTGAAATTTCTGCATTAAGAATCTCATCAGTGTTACAAGAACATAAATCACAACTTTCCTCGTGTCGTTTTAGTCTGTTGTTGACATGTTCGGTAAAGTCATCTATTGTGGTATCAGCTTCTTCCTTATGGAATAAGTTGCTGAAGTATTCCGCCCACTTTCTAGGGGAAATAACTGATTGTCTTTTTACTATTGATTGGCTTGACTTCAGCAGCTTTATAGTTTTCCAGAACTCGGTAGAATCTTTGGTTGCTTCACACAATATGTTTTTCATAAGTTCTCTGTAGTCTTTTTCTTTTTTTACACATAGGTCCTTAAATCGTTTCTTGTATTCAAGGTATTCATCCAACTGTTCTGGTGCGCGTGTTGTTCTGTATTTATTAAGAAGTTCGCACTTTTTTTTCTTAAGTAGATCACACTCTTTGTCGAACCACTTTTGGTTAGTTTTTTCTGTGTTTTTCTCAGTGATTTTTTCTTTTACTTCCATGTGACTACCACACCTCTCCAAGACACCCCTCAATTTACAGACAGTTTCCTCTGTACTTAAGTCATCTAACTCAATTATACCATTGATTTCTAATACCACATCTGTACTACAGATATTTTGTAAATATTCAACAGATTTGTTCATATCCCACTTGAATTTAGATAAATGCTCTAGTTGTACATCAACCTCCATGACCTCCGTGCTATATTTGACTACACTTAATGTACAATGTATGGGTAAATGGAGGGAAATATCTACATCTAACACTTTAAAGTCACTAATATATTCGAACATTGCAGAATCAGCTATACAGTAATCAATTGTGCTACACCCTCTGTTAGAAACAAATGTAAAGTTTCCTGATAAATCACTATTGGTCCTACCATTTACAAAATGTATACCCTCTACTGCACACAATTCTAGTAATTGTTTACCAAAATGATTTACCTCTTTGTCTTGATTCTTTCGCTTTTTAGAAAATTTATCTGAATTATACAGTTCATCCTCACAGTCTTCTAACACAGGAATGTACTTAACTGAATCATCAATCACATAATCTACACTAACACCTGTTCTTGCATTGAAGTCTCCAGCCAGCAATAATCTACAGTTGCTGTATCTTGTATCGTTTTTTATTTTAAACATATCCTCAGCTAAAAGATCTACTCCAGATTCGCTATCTGTAGAGCTATAGTATATAGATCCTTGTGGGGGTAGATAAATAAAGCCCATAATTAAATTGGGGTGCTCTTTATCACTAAATATATTCTTAAAACACAAATACAGTCTATCATCAGCACCAAATATTTTTGTCACACTGTGTTGCAACACCAATGATCTCTTAACTAGAGCTGTTACACCCCCTGCTGGTTTACTACAGACAGTACGCATGGCTGAAAATATTGTCCACTCATTACTATCAAATTCATGATCAAATTCATTGTCTCTTGTTTGAAATGATGCAATGAAACCAATGATATCAAAATGCTGCATCAAGGAATATATCTCGCTTCTGTTAGAGCGTAATTTGCTTGCTAAGCTTTCTATATTCCATGAGACAACATTAATATTCATCATGGGTTGTACATTTACATCAACATTTACATCAACAATTTCATCATTATTTGTAGCATCAATTGTCATGCAAGTATTTACATTCACATTATTTACAGAAAGTTGAGTTGACAGTGGGCGGCCGAATCCCTATTTGTGAGCACTAAAGTCCAAATCCTCTAAATCTTCAACGGAATACATCTTGCTATTTATACGCAGCTTGTCTTTAATAAGCGAAGCCTTTTTACCATTATTCTTTGCTTCTATAAGGTATGGTATTAGTTTTTTCCTTGTATCTCTTAGTTCAGGAGGAAAGTCTTCTGATAGCTTTGGACGCTTTTCATACTCTGCATTTGTTGATTATTGTTTCCTTGTCTAGTATACTTGTGAGCTTGATCAAGATTGGGCGAGGTTTTTGCGAATTCTGGTCTATATTTGGTTTACCGAGTCTGTATACCTGGTCTGTCTTGATATTATCAAGCTGTAGTTCCTCGAGGAGTATGTGGACCTTCTCGTGAGCTTCTTGTGGTTTGGTGTCTTCTTCAATTCCATGGTAGATAACGTTATATTTTCTCTTCTGGTCTTCATTTGATTTTAATTTCTTTTCCAGCAGTAGCACCTTATCTTCTAGGTCTTTGTTTTGCATTATCAGGTTTTCTACTGTTGTTTCATAATAGCTTATCTTTTTCTCTAGAGACTCTAGTTTTATATTGATAGAACGAATGTCCCCTCGTAAGTCTTTACCTAGTTCTCCAATGGCTTTAAGAACTTCCGATTCCCCTCGGCTTTCGAAAGTTAGCCTTTTTTGCGTTTGTCTTGTGGTTCTACTTTCATCCTCATTTCCAGGTCCAGGTCCTGGATTCGTCTCAACATCCCCGCACTGTTGAAGAGCTATGATGAAGATTATAGCGATCAACAATCCGAAACGGATATATATATATATATATATATATATATATATATATATATATATATATATATATATATATATATATATATATATATATGTTCCAGTAAATGTTCAACCAAGCCTCTTTCTTTAACTCCTCACTAAGGTATTACATGTAATAGTATAGTGAAAGAAAAACCTTCAGGAATATAGTGTGCAACAATATAAAGAAGAGATGTACATCAGATGTGGATACTCAAAACTTCCAAAAAATTTGAAAAATTTGAAATCACAAGATTTTACCAAAATTAGCAGCCTAAATACTTACGACTTTTCAACTTTATACACAACCATTCCCCAAGATAAATTAAATTCCAGGCTTTTCAATATCATTGACAGCTGCTTTTTGAATAAAAATGGAACTGGCAAATTTACTTACCATGTCATTGGTCATTTGCAAAATTATTTGTTAACACACATTATGATTGCACACACAAGTACTCTAAAGTTGACATCAAAAAGATACTTGGGTTTCTGATTGTCAATATCTATGTGGTATTTGGAGACCAGGTCTTTTTTTTTTCTTCTAAAAATCTATTGGAATTCCCATAGGTACCAATTGCGCTCCGTTATCAGCAGACCTATTTTTGTATTCATATGAAGCACAATTTGTGCAAAATCTATTGAGAGAAAAGAAGAAAACACGCAGTGGCCTTCGACTCGACAATTAGATATATCGACAACGTTTTGTCAATTAGCAATTATGGTAATTTCCATTCCTATGTCGATACGATATATCATGGTGAGCTTGAGATAAAAGTCCCACGGATTCCGACAAATCTGTTTCATACATAGATATTTTACTTGAAAAAGACATTAATGGTAATTTAACAACCAAGCTCTACATGTACGATAAACGTAATGAGTTTAACTTTTTTCAGTCGTCAGCTTCCCTTACTTATGCAGCAATATACCTTCATCACCTGCATACGGAGTTTGTATATCTCAGTTGATTTGATATGCATGCGCAAGAGTATGCTCTACGTATGAACAATTTTTTAAACGAGGTAAATTATTGACAAACAAGTTGATGAAACTAGAATATCAGCAGTCTCGTTTAAAATCACCATTTCGTAAATATAAGTTCTATGGTCGATACAATGACCTTGTCAGCAAATACATTGTATCATTAAGTCAAATGTTACTGACGGTTTCATGCTAATTACTAGTCCATTATTTATACACTGAATTGATGACGGATTTCTCCGTTTTTCCCGATCATGGCAAAGACCACACGGCGGGTGTGACCGGTCAGCAGGGGATGCTCACTCCTCCAAAACACCCGATCCCACCTCTGATGTTTTGGAGGTCCTTGTTTGCTCTGCTCCTGTTTTGTATTGTTGTATGGATTTGATATTGGATACTGTTCGTTATCTCCGTATCACTTTAAGCCTGTTTTTCGGTCATGCTGATAATGATGTTTACCAAAAAGTAGATAATTTTGTAACATATATGTTTCTATTTACCTTTGTGTCATATCTTAAGGTCAGAAGACTTTCCTCAAATGTTATGTTTTGTATCTGTTAGAATTATATAAAAAATTATTCATATTTGTCATTCTGTTCTAATTTCTACATTGTTTTCAAAATCTTTTTAAATGTAAGTATACCAAAAATTGTGGTAAAGGCCATTCAGAAGAATACCCAGAATGATTACATAAGAAATATGACCCTGTATTATCTTGTCCAAATGCCTGGTAAGGTACCCTATTTTTTGTGAGGATACTTGTTTAAGTACATTTACTTCAATGACAAATCCTTAGGAAAAATTATGATATTTTGAGGAACATGTTGTCTGACCTTGAAAGTGTGTACATTTTTGTGACCATAAATTTGAACCATGTTCAAAGAAAAATTGTGTCTTTTTTCGGCTTTTTATACTGTGATCTTGACTTAGAAGTTTAAGATAACCTTCGCATATTTTAACATTGAAAGTATTATCTTTTGAGTGAGAGTGGTATAAAGGACATTGATAGTTGACATGTGCATTACCTTTGAAGTTTCTTAGAACTTTTCTAAGAAAGCGTCGTTACTGACTTGCAACTTTATCTCACTAATGAAACAGATGATTTAAACAACAAAAAACAATGTTAGGGACGTAAGATTTTCTGATTAAAACAACTAGAAAGTTTGAATAAATCATTTAGAATAATACTTGGAACAATACAACTCTTGCATCAACTTATTACAATGTTAACCATGCACTATCGATAAAGTATTCAAAAACAATAAACTATTGCTCTTATTTTGAATGAATGTATATTTTAAGAAAATCATAACAAACATACGGAAATTTGTTTCAATATTTTTAATTGTATACCAATAAAACAATGACAGAAAATAGATTATGGAAAATAATTTTTCATTTTTACATATTACACTTAAATAATGAGAGATCATATTCGTCACAACTACCATATTAAGAATAGTATCGATTAAATATCTCAAGACTATAAGACAGTTAGATATTTAAGTACTATCATGTGCACATTACGAGTGTTTGAGACATTCCTCTAAGAATTTCACCTGTTGTGGGTGGAACCTGTCGTAGAGAGACAACACCCGGCGTTTCTCCTTCAGTTTATGAAGTACAGCGTGCTTCTCCACTGAGAAGAGGCTGGGATTGTACAGCCCATCCCGACCTAAATTCCGAGATCCCTTGTCTCTAACGTAAATCACAAAAACATCACCTGTACAAAAAATAGTCATCAATAGGTGAATTGATTTAGACCACATATTTATAAATAGTATCTCGTGCTCTGACTTCAAATATATGTTTTAGATCTTTATATTTTATCTGAATACGATCGATGCTTTTAAAAGTTTTAAAATAAACATGTGTCACAAACAGTTTGGAAGTTAAAAGCCGAAGGGTATTTACTAAACTGAAGAGAATATACTAAACTTCATATTGAAGATCACTTCCATATGATATTACGCTAATACTGTAGACGTACTTTTTTCCGCTGGGTCATAATTCTGCGGAATCTCAATTTCTGTTTAATCTGCGGGTAGAAAATTATGCGGATTTTTCTATATTGTTACTATATGCCTTACATTTATATTAGGTACGCTTGGACAAATTTCCGCGGAAAATTTGTGACCGCGTACATAGCGTAAATTAATACCACGTGGAAAAAAGTACTTCTACAGTATATCAAAAATTTTAAAGATAAATTGGGAAAATATTTTCGATTTTGTTATACTAACTCTTCATTTTCCATATAAGCAAATAACTATCTGTCGAAATTCCTTTGTTTTTTTGTGCGTTAAGTTCAACAAAAATATAGATGTTTAGAATAATTTGTACAGCAAACATTCCTAAGAAACCCGTAACTCGGGTTTGGATGGAACTCGTAAATTTAATTACCTTGTCATTGGTCATTTGCAAAATTATTTTTAAAAAACATAAACATTTTGATTGTACACACAAGTACTCTGAAGTTGATATAAAAAATGCACGAGTTTCTGATTGACAATATCTATGTAGTTCAGGAGACTAGGTCTTCCAAAAATTTATTTGAATTCCCATGAATACCAATCGCGCCCGGTCATTAGTAAAGCTATTTTTGAATTCAAATGAAACAGAATTTTTGCAAAATCTTATGCGTTAAAAGAGGAAAACACTTGCGGTGGTCTTTAACTCGACATTTAAATATATCGACGATGTATTGTTAATAAACAATGGTACTTTTCATTCTTAAAAAGACTTTTAAAGATTGGTTAAACATATTTTTTGTATATATTACTTAACAACTTACTGGAAGTGATACTTAAAATAATTTAAATTGAATTCGACCCCCCATTTTTCCCTCCCTACCCCCATTGTGACCCTACCCTATACCTGGAGGTTATGATTTGAACAAATTAGAATCTACACAACCTGAGGATGCTTCCATATAAATATCACTAATCATGGCTTAGCAGTACATGAAAATGTTGAAAGATTTCCATATATATTCCTCATTTTCTTACAAAAAACTTTGATCAGCCATTGTGGCCCCACCCTACCCCCGGGGGTCATGATTTGAACAAATTTGAATGTACACTACCTGATGATGATTCAACATGAGTTTCATCTTTCTTGTCCCGATGGTTCTTGAGAAGAAGATTTTTAAGAATTTTCCCTATACATTCTTATGTAAAACTTTGATCGGCCATTTTGGCCCCTTCCTAACCCCCGGGGGTCATGATTTGAACAAAATGGAATGTACACTATCTGAGGATGATTTAACATGACTTTCATCTTCCCTGTCCCAATGAATACTGAGAAGAATATTTTAAAAGATTTTTCCTATATATCCTTATGAAAAACTTTGATCGGCCATTGTGGCCCTACCCTTGGCCTTAGAGTCATAATTTGAACAAAATTCAATGTACACTACCTGAGGATGATTCAACATGAGTTTCATCTTTCTTGTCCTTATGGTTCTTGAGAAGAAGATTTTTAAGGATTTTTCCTATATATTTCTATGTAAAATTTAGATCGGCCATTGTGGCCCCACCCTATCCCTGGGGGTCATAATTTGTACAAACTTGAAAGTACACTACCTGAGAATGATTTAACATAAATTTCATCTTTCCTGTCCCAATGAATACTGAGAAGAAGATTTTAAAAGATTTTTCCTATACATATATATCCTTATGAAAAACTTTGATCGGCCATTGTGGCCCCACCCTTGACCTGAGGGTCATGATTTGAACAAACGTAAATCAAGAATGCCTGAGGATTATTCCACATAAGTTTCATCTTTCCTGACCCTGTGGTTATTGAGAAGACGATTATTTTTTAAAAGTGCCATTAATTTTTCACTAATTCATAATTATCTCCCCTTTGAAGAAGGGCCTTCATTTGATCAAACTTGAATTCCCTTTACCCAAGAATACTTTTGTGATAAACGTGATTACTTTAACTTTTCAATCGTCAACTTCCCTTACTTACATGTATGCAGTAAATATTTTCATTACATGCACACGGAATTTATGTATCTCAGTTGATTCGATAGCATGCTCTACGTATGGGCAATTTCTAAAACCAGAAATCTCTGTCAAGAATGTAGACCTACTGGTTTGTACTTATAATAAAGGAAGAGAAAAGTAGCAGTTGGGAATTAAAACTTAACAAAAGCAATAAATAGAATAATGATCTTTTTGTGGAAGATTGCAATAAGATACTGTATACAGGGTTATTTTCGTCCCGTCTTATTTTCGCCATTTAACAATTGAAAACAATTTCGTCCCATTTTAAATTCGCCCAGCCATAGTTTTGTTTAAGAAATTATACTGTATTTTTTTAATTCGCTTCATTTTAAATTCGCCCAAAGGAGGATAGGGCGAAAGGGGCGAAAATAAAACGGGGGCGAAAAATTCTCTGTACACAGTATAACTGTAGGAGTAGCTCTTATATTTTACAGAATTTTCAATTTAATTCACTATGGCAACATCAATCATCAAAATAAAAAACACAAAACTGATGATTATGTATCTCAGTGAAGTCTACTTGCATGCCAAATTCTATGATAATCAGACTCAAACTGTATTTGGAGTAGCATTTTGAAAGTATTTCGCATAATTTTCTATTTTTTTAACCGCGGCAACACCATTCCTCGAAGTCAAAAACCTATCCATAGAATTATGTATCTTAGTTTAGTCTACTCGTGTGCCAAATTATATTGAAATCAGACCAAAACTGTAGGAGGAGTAGCATTTTAAAAAAAATGTTTACAGACGGACAGACAGACAGACAGACAAACGGACGATGGACGCATTAATATCGCATAAGCTCTTCTGGTCTCTGACCAGTAGAGCTAACGATATAAATTGTTGACAAACAAGTTGATGAAATAAGAATACCAGTAGTCTAGTTTAAAATCATCATTTCGCACGTTCTATGGTGTACTTGTCAGCAAATACAATTTATCATTGAGTTAATGCTGACTGTTATTTTTCATACTAATTGTTAGTCCATTATTTAAACATTGAATTGATGACGGATTTTTCTGTTATTTCCTTATAATGACAAGGAGCACACGACGGACGTGACTGGTCGGGAGGGGATGCTCACTCCTCCACGGCACCTGATCCCAAATATGATGTTTTGGAGGTCCGTGTTTGTTCTGCTCTTATTTTGTATTCTTTCTTGGACTTTTGATCTTGTATACTGTTCGATACATTCATATGTTTCATTTGGATAAAAGGTATACCATTCCAAATAATCTTTTTTTGTAAAACTTACAGCCCATCTTGAGGAGTCCTTGAGTGGTCATTCTGCGGAGGTCACCTTTTTCTGTCTCTGGGTCCTCCAGAATGATATTCCTCTCATTAAAGTCAACAAACACAAACGCAATCTTGGTGGGCATCGTTTGTTTGACCTCATCGAATTGATTGATGTTGCATGTCTATTTAAAGTAAGAGTACATGAAAATTATAACTATGTATGTTTTTTTAGAGTGAGACTGTAGCCTTTATGCTACATAGTATAAAAAGACCCTCCCCCACCCACCCCCAAAAAATAATCAGACCATTGTTTATAGGATGCACACAATCTTGATATAGTAAAACTCAATACATTTCTGTAGGGTATCATAGGCATTCGAAGAATGTCACTCTAAATATTGCAGGCCTTAATTTTCCTTGCATGAATACCATGAGTCTCGCTTATGGCGGCGGTTGAAAGGAATTTTCATGTATATCTTTTAACTTATCACTCATTGGACACATGTGTAGAAATAAATTAATACATTTATAAGGAATTATAAATTTATGTCCATAGGACTACTAAAGAAAGAAGGATATGATAACGAACAGTATTCAATCTCAAAGTCAATAAAACAATACAAAAAGAAGAGCAAACATGGACCTCCGAAACATCAGAGGTGGGATCAGGTGCCATGGAGGAGTGAGCATCCCCTGCCGACTGGTCACACCCGCCGTGTGCTCCTTGTCATGATCAGGAAATAACGGAAAAATCCGTCGTCAATTCAGTGTATAAATAATGGACTAACAATTGGTATGAAAAACGTCAATCAGCATTTGACTCAATGATAAATTGTATTTGCTGACAAGGTCATTGTATCGACCATAGACTTACGAAATGATGATTTTAAAAAAAGAATATGTAATAGAAAAATGAATTTTGATTATTTTTCGTCTGTAAGAGTGATCAAATAGAAGTCGTAAAATTCATATGCTCGAAAATAATCTGTAAAACACATTTGCATTTCATAAAACTAGTAATAAATTACAATAATACATACATGGACTTTTGTAGAACCAGGCATAGGGATTGCATCTATAAGGTCCTTGTAAAACTTCTGTGAGGTAGAGTTGAAGCTTATGAGATTTATGCTTAGCTCCACAGTTTGTCTGGATATACTAGTACTGGATATATTAGTACTGGATATACTAGTACTGGATATATTAGTACTAGATATACTAGTACTAGTACTTTCAACAATTTTAGATGAAAACTGAAAGGAATAAAAAAAATTGATTAACGGTAACATAAAGAATATATAACAGCAGTAAATATAGGCATATATCATGTTATAAATTTTGAATTTACCGTGTGGCAGTACATTGTGAGTTTGAAGTACATAAAACTAGTAAAGATGACACTGGAAATTTTTTGATTGTAGATGTGACTATTGCGGGTTCAATTTTTTTTTTATTGGTAAATATTTATTGTCCAAATTTGGTTCTATTTAATTATAATCTTACCGACAAAAAATAATAAAAATTCATTTTCTATTACATATGTTTCACGAAGCGAACGCTCTACCACTAGGCTACCGTGAACGGTAATAGGCATTGAAAAAATGTATATAAGAATGCCATTTACCATAAATATAGAGAAAATCTGTGGAAGAAGTGGAAGAAAGAGTTGAACAATTATGTGACATTTAATTTAATCCCTGCATATCTATCAAATCTCTACCCTACCCTGTTTTCGTCTTTTCTTGAAAATCACCCCTTGGCGGGGCTTTGGTTCTGTATTTTAACAATGAAATATATGGAGATAAAGAAAAGTTTTCAAGCTCAAAAGTTTATTTAATAATTCTAAGAAATGGAGCAGAGCGAACATGTACCTGCAAATATTCATAGGTGGGATTAGATACATGGAGGAGTGAACATCTCCTGCCGACGAGTCACATATTAACGTATTTTTCAATTGAAATATCTAAATATTAAACAGATGTGTCCGCATCTATGAAACCTGAATCATTTCTTAAATCCATTACATGAAAATTGTTGATGGAAAAGGTTTCAATTTCAAGCTTCATGGTGAGTCTTTTTAAATTAAATAAAAATTTCAAGTTTTCCTTCCTGACTTTGCTTAGGATTGATTATCCTTTATTACACCTTTTCTATTATATCTGAGATTATACTTAAGATTTTTAAAATCCATTTAAAAATTTGAATTATGACATTTATCACAGGTGACTATTCATCGATAGAGAATTCGAGTATATATATAACATGCATTACCTTAAAGTTTCCTCCTACCCTTGGTTGCGGAGCAGATGTTGCTGTTGTCGGTTTATAAACAGGTACTGGCGATGGCCTTAGTATCAGGAGTTTGTATACAATGAAAATGACAGCCATTACCACTAGGACTAAGAATCCCACAATGAATAGATCTTAGAAAAAATAAATATATATCAAACATACCAGTGTCTTATGATTGAAAAGTGAATTAAGTGTATATTTAACTAATTGAGATTAGGATTAAAGAATAATGAGACTTGTAACAACAAGATTCTTTCCAGCAGTTTGTGTCACCTGCACTATCACGGATATTAATGTTCCAATCTTAAAATCAAAGTAAATTTGAGGTAAGGGTGAAAAAGAAACTAAATGAAGGATCAATGTCAAGGAAGTAAAATTCTCTGAAGTTCCGAAATTGTATGCATTCAGAGACAAAGACATATGTTGAGCTCTTTATCAAAGGATAAGTTATCCAATGAAATATATATTTTAACAAGACATATTCCATTTTATTAAAAAGTTGAATATTGATTTTAACTCAACTGGTCAGATGTTAGGCTTTGGAATTGAAACATTTGGAGATAACGAACAGTATTCCAGATCAAAATTCCATAAAAACAATTTAAAAATAATAGGAACAGAGAAAACACGAACCTCCAAAACATCAGAGGTGTGATCAGGTGCCATAGAGGAGTGAGCATCCCCTGCCGACCGGTCACACCCGCCGTGTGCTCCTTGTCATGATCGGGAAATAACATAAAATTCGTAGTCAATTCAGTGTATAAATAATCGACTAGCAATTAGTATGAAAAACGCCATCAGTCCTTCTTCCCTTTATCGTATACATATTATATATTCGTTCAAAAGATAATAGTCGTAGGGATATCGTCTGATTTTAATAAAACTTAATGTTTTAAAGTATAAGAAAAAAATCTATTTGGTCTTTTAAAAGTTAAAGAAAATAAAGATCAATGAACATTGTCTTTTTCAGAAATGTTTTGAATGTGACACAGATGTTGATATATACCTGGTATATCCAAGCCCAAACTATCAAACATGAAAAGCAAAGTACTAGTATCATATCTTATGCCTTGTACTGTTCAAATTATAGGACAAGAGACAGAAACCGATGAACAGACAGCGGGTAAAGTGATCCCTAATAATCAAACAGTTAAGCTGAGGATACAGTAGTAAGGATAATCACTGTCATCATTTAGTTCAACAGAAAAGTAGTCCAACTGCCCATGCAATCCAGCCAGTGTGGATTCTAATTTCTCCTTTTCTGCATTGACTTTATCCAAAATCTTTTTTACTTCTTTTTCAAACTTTTCATCAACTCCAATGACAAATGCCACTAATAAATTCAGTCTTCCCTCAATGCTATTAAATTTTTCTTTTACTTCTTTTTCTCTTTCTGTGGTATGATTGTATAATTCTTTTATTCTATCATCCAGTTCTTTGGCGTAAGCCGCTGTGGATTCAACATTCCTCTTTTCGGTATGAACTTTTATGTTAATCCTCTTTATTCTTTTTTTTAATTTCTTCATCATTATTTTCGATTCTTTCAATTTTTGATCGATGTAACTAAATTTGTCTTTGGTGTGCTCATCTTTTTCTGTATTATTAATGTTTAAATGGTTCATGTTTTCCTCGATGTTTTTGATATCAGTCAAAGTGGATTCAATTTTCTTTTTTTCGGCATCAACTTCTTCCTTAACCTTCCTCGCTTTTTCATCAATTTCCTTGAGCCTTTTGTGTGATTCATTTATACTTTGAATAACTTCACTAAATTGTCTATCAATTGTCTCTTCTTTCTTCATCAAAGTTCTGCTGTATTCATTTAAATTCCTGTCAAGCTTTGTAATTTTTGCAATGATTCTTTCAATATCAACAGATATTTCATTATGGTGTTCACCAAATTCCCCTTTCTGTTCATCGATTTTCATGTCAATGTCAGCATACAGACCTCTTAATTTCTTCGATGATTTATTTTGAAGTATTTCTACAATCATAATTAAACATATAAAAAATTACTTTGTGTTAAAGGATAGAACACTTACAAGCTCCTATACATTTTCCGTAAAAATACATGTACATATTCGCGAGCTACTCAAAATACAAATTGCATATATATTTGTATTAAAAATTGTATCCTTCAATTCACCTAAAAATCAAAGCTGAATAATTATACTTTGTTTGATATGTACATGCATGACCAAAAAGGATCTAAGAATCAACTTTCTTTGATTATGGTGATTTTTTTCATAAAGTCTCTTACGTGAATTGCTATACGAACTTATCATAAAGTTTCCGAAGTGAATTCATATAAAATTGCAGGTGTATACAACTATGCATTCATTTCTTTTGTAATATGAGGTAATATGAGGAAAAAATACTCCTAAACACCTTCAGATAATCTTTCATTAGTTATTATTTCACTGTTATTCTCCAAGACCTCTGCATAAATACGACTTGTACCTTGCTTCATTGTTAGCATCTTTTCCGTGAAATTGGCCTCAAGCTGCTTTAAATGTTGCTTTTCCTCTTCCGTTTTGTTAGTATAATCCTTTTGCAAAACGTTAATAGTTTGGAACATTGTATTCTTGTCTTCTTCCAAATCAGTTATATTTTTAATCATGCGCTCCAAATTTTTGTTACATTTCGACAATTCATTCACCCATGCCTCAGTTTCCTGTTGTCTGTCTTTGACATAACTGTGGAATTCGTTGTGTAATAGATTTAAATCATGAACAACATTTATGATTCTTTCTGACACATCAGCCTCTTCCCGGCCACAGACTAACGAGGAATCCCCGGGATCTGTTTCTAATGGAACAGTTGGATACGATTGATGTAAGACGGTGAAGTTTTGTTGCAATAAATACGTAATCCCGCATATCTGAAAACTGTATAAATTAGGTTTTAGAATGTACAATCCGTATAATTAAATGACAAACACATCTTGTTTCATCATCTCATGTCCATTCGCTTAGCTGAATGATAATTCCCAAAAGAATTTACAAAAAATAGATGATAACAATTTGTTTTACTGTACTAAAGTTTTCTTTATCCATCATTTATTTTTTTTCTTTTCAGTTTTATGACTCATTTATAGTTATCTATTTACAATGTAGGTTACGATAATTGATTTCATATGCTGAACATCTTAAACAGTCAAATAAATCCAATGATTTGAATATTTTCTTTATTATTCAAAACCTCTGGCTTGAGATATATTTTGTACAACACTGCTTTAGAGGGTATTTTTTAACTTGAATACATGCACTTACACATGCAATACTCCTACAATGAAAATCACTATTCGTAACTTTTTGTCTTTCCATATTTCAACAGAGGTTGTTTTTACTTCTTCCTCCTTCTTGTCTGCTGAATTTTCATTGCAACACAAATCATCATTAGAGGTTTCAGCGTTTGTTTTCTTGTCATCCTTTTCACTGCGCACTTTTTCTTTCTTGCTCTTTCCATCCATTCTTGAATAAGTACATGTATTACTTTCCCATATGTTCCTTATCTCATTTAAAAGAAAAATATATAAACACTGTATTATAGTCGTGAATTTTAATTGTTCGATTTTATACCATTAAAATTTTTCTACAAATCAAATCGTCCTTTATGAACACTCTTCGCACATAAACAATAGTAAAAGGAAGACTTTTAAAAATGATTAATATTTTCACTGATATATGAAAAAAAAATGTATGCTTGAATAGAACGATGCTTCAGATGTAAGATGCTCGGGCTGCTCATGAATATGTTAAAGGGCGGGAAATCGCCGATTACAACTTTTAAAAACGTAAGGCTAGTGTACAACAGCGAATCAACTTCACATTGCCTGAACCTTTTAAAAGATAAAATTATTATCACATGCAGTATTATCGGTAAAGTTAGTTAAATGTTGAATGCATATCACTATAACACTTCATCAACTCTATAATGCACGTTCTTTGTATCAAAATCATTTTAACAACATTTTCTAACAGCTTTTCCTATTGATATTTTAGCAGCAAAACATTTTATCATTAAAAAAAAAACTTGTTCAACATGTCCATGTTCTTGACTGAAAGTGTCACGTATCTTTTGAGGAAGAACATTTTCGATTTGTTTTCTGTTGCAAAATAAGATTGTTTTAACGTCCTTTCATTAGTTACTGTGAAATTAATTCCAGTTTGTTCAGAATTGATCAGTATTATCTGGGAAATTTTAACATGAATATACTTCGGCCAAGTCCTAAGCATAATTAATGAATACAAATATAACAATTACTACTCTATGAAGCTTATGTATTCATGATTAATTTAATATATTTTAAGCACTCGAAGTCTTTATACTTCCCCAAGACAACTATTTTATATTTAAAAAAACCTAGCCCTCCTCCGATTCAGAATACCTGATTTGGTGCAGTGTGGTAAATTTCCAAAAATCTAATCAACTTTCAGTTTAGTCCTTTCAACTATGAAAGATAACAAAAGATAAATAAAAAAAAAGAGCTCGATGTATATTCCCCGTGAATAATTAACAAGAGACCTAGGGGCAACACTGCTCACCTGAGCACATCGGCTAGGAAAACGCACAGATCAGATCAAAATTGAAAAGTTTACTGAGGTGTTGGGGGAAGGGGGGCTTGAATTCTAATACTACTTGAGAATGCCTTCATATCAATTCTGCATATAAATTCTTGAGAAAGTTATTGAGAAAAAGATTTTTATAGATTTTTTAACATTTTCTTTGCATATATTACCTTGTAATAATCTGAATTTGACTCCCCATCATTTCCCTTCCTACCCTAAAGGGTACTCAGGATTTGAAAAAAAAATTAAATCTTCAATACATGAGGATGCTTACATGTCAAAATGACTTAACATAGCTTTTCTGTTATTTAGGTTTTTCCCATTATTTTCTTATGTAACACTTTGATCCACCATTGAGACCACTTCCTACCCTTGAAGGTTATGATTCGAACAATTTAATTCTACACTAGGTACCCGAGGAAGCGTCCATATAAATATAATCATGGCTTTGCTATTCTTTAGAAAAAGATTTTTTAAAAATACATTTTATGTAAAACTTGGATCCCCCATTTTGGCCCCACCCTATCCCTGGAGGTTATGATTTGAACAAACTAGAATCTACAGTATCCAAGGATGCTTCCATAAAAATATCACTTATTATGTTTTAGCAGTACTTGAGGAGAACAGTTTGAAAAATTTCCCTATATATTCCTCTGTAAAACTTTGATCGGCAATTGTGGCCTAACCCTAACCCGGGGACCATGATTTGAACAAATCTGAATGTACACTACATGAGGTTGATTCAACATGAGTTTCATCTTTCCTTTCCCAAAGGTTCTTGAGAAGATTTTTCCTATATATTTCTATGTAAAAGTTTGATCGGCCATTGTGGTCTAACCCTACCCCTGGGGGTCATGATTTAAACAAACTTGAATGAACACTATCTGAGGATGATTCAACATGAGTTTCATCTTTCCTGTCCCAATGGTTCTTGAGAAAATGATTTTTAAAAATTTTTCCTATATATTCAATTATTCATATGTAAAACTTTGATCGGCCATTTTGGTCCCACCCTACCCCCTGGGGCCCTGCTTTGAACAAACTTGAATGTACAATATCTATGGATGATTCAACATGAGTTTCATCTTTCCTGGTCCAGTGGTTCTTGAGAATAAGATTTTAAAAAAAAATGCCATTAATTTTCACTAATTCATAATTATCTCCCTCTTGGAAGAGGGCGTGGCCCTTCATTAGAACAGATTTGTAATCCCTTTACCCAAGGATACTTTGTAGCAAGTTTGTTTGAAATTTGTGCGGTGGTTCTTGAGAAGAAGATGTAAATGTGAAAAGTTTACGACAATATCAAGGACGCCAACGACGAAAACGACGACAGAAAACGGACACATTTTGATAAAAAAAAAAAAGCTCACGAGCTCAGGTGAGCTAAACAGAAATTCTTCGTAATATTAAATGCGCTATATGTTGATAAATCAAGAACGAAGGTATATTTGTTTTAAGGTTTTGATTCATAATTTCATTTGCTGACAACGTCATTGTATCGACAATACAATTTTTTAAAAAAGTCTCCAAGAGAATAGTCTCCCTATGGAGGAAATTCTTTACAATCATGTGTCAGTTCAATAAATATTTTTAATATTCTAAACAATCATAATGAATGTGAATTACCATACATATACTGGATTCAGTAACTTTAAAATCCCTTACAATCACCCACGCATAACAGGTTCCAGTAAATGTTTACCAAGCCTTTCTTTTCTTCTCAAAAAAAATTGACACCAAAACGTAAAACTTTTCACTGACATTTTACACAACCATAGCCCAAGATAAATCATCAAAGCCCTGGATTTTCGACATCAATCATAGACAGCTGTTGTTTTTTTTTTAAATAAAAATAATACTCGTAAATATACTTACCTGTCACTGGTCATTTGCAATATTATTTTGTTAAAAAAACATTCTTATTGCACACAAAAGTACACTGAAGTTGTCATAAAAAATATACTTAAGTTTATGATTGATAATAACGATGTACTTTTGGAGACAAGATCTTCCAACAATCTGTTCGAATTCCCTTGGGTACCACTGCTTCTAAGGATTATATGGCTCTCAGTTGATTCAACACGCAAGAACAATGACACATATGGACATATCAAACGGTATTCAAGATCAAAGTCCATAAAACGATGCCAAATAATAGCAGAGCAAACACGGACCTCCAAAACATCAGAGGTGGGTCAGGTGCCATGGAGGAAAGAGCATCTTTTGCCGACCGATCACACCCGCCGTGTGCTCCCTTTCATAATCGGGAAAATTCGTCGTCGATTCAGTGTACAAATAATGGACTAACCATTATTACGAAAAACAACTCAATGATTAATTGTATTTGCTGACAAGGTCATTGTAGTGTTTTATCGACAAAAAAACTTACGAAATGATGACTTTAAACGAGACGGCACAAATTCTAGTTTCATCAACAACGAAATTGACAAAACAAGGATAATTACAGTCTTTTGAAGTCATCATTTCGCTAATTTTATAGTGAACTTGTCGGCAAATATATTTACCTTTTATGTGGTCAAAGGCTTGCTAAAGGTTTTCATTGTGAGACTTAGGTCATTATTAACACTCTGAATTGTCCACGAATTTTCCCGTTTTTTTTTTCAATCATGAGGAGAAGCACATCGAATGTTAATCGAAAAAGTAAAGATTAACACCCTAATGCAGACAATGTTAAAATATTAGTACATAAATACAGGATTTTGAATATAACAAAGCTAAACTCCAGAGTGAAAAAAGTTCATAATCAGTTTGCTCTTTGTCGTGATCCAAAAAAAAAAAATAATAAATTAGAAGCATTGATGCAGATTGTTATGATATACATTTTTGCTTCATTCAAAAATTGATAAATGAAGAGTTATAGATGGTCACAAGATATCAAATGAAAGAAAATCTAATTCTGCACAACTTTTATTATATATCTTATAACAAAATAGCATGGCAAGATATTTCTGAGCCCATTTTTCGAGTCCAGGCGAGCTTCAAATCCTTTTGCGCTGGAAAGATTTGAACTTAAAAAAGCAATTCAGCAATCCTTCCTCTACCTTCACTGAAAATCTTTAGTCAATATTTTCATTTTTTTGAGTGATTGCCCGGACAAGCCGACCCTCTAAAAATCAGTAAATCGTCCATATCTCACGACCGGAAGTGACGAACTTATAAAAAATTTCCCATAAATCGGTAAGAAAAAAAAAGAATATTAAATTCAAAAAAGAACGAAAACAATAAGGTCTTCCGTTGGAAACGGAAGACCTTAATTAGAAGACAATTCGATGTGGGGAAAAATGGCCTAACAATTCGTATGAAAAACGTCAGACACACCAGACTTAGAAAAAAAAATTATTTGCTGTCAAGGTCCTTATATCGATCATGGAATTTGCCAATGTTAACTTTAAACGAGAATTTTGACATCCTTGTTTCAGAAACAAATGTCAGCAGCTTGTCTTGCACTCATTTCAAAAATTGCACTGCCGCAGAGCATGCTCTTAAAGCTGAACACGATTCGTAAAAAGAATCTGTCCGCCATTTGCTATACAGAGCTCGGTAGCGAGAATAATAACGTAATACTTCGTCTAATGCAGGAAAAATAAGGTACCAAATAAGTTTACAATTACAGCTATATAAGTCAGTGTAGTATCCAAACAACACAAATATACGTAACTGCAATAAAATATAAACAAAGGTAATGCAAGATAACCAGCACGAACACGGGTCGCCATTCCACGCCGATACCCGTGACAATAAAGCAGTCAGGTGTAACGAATGCGACGAGTATACCCTAGTATTGATGTATCGTAGATAATGCTATCGAAAATGGCGTATGCCTATTTACGAGTCGTGTTCAGCTTTAAGTATCAAATCTACTGGGAGACAACAATTTTAAATGCAGGTTACCGGTATAATGATTGAGAGCTGGATAAATAAGAGAAGTTGATGATAGAAAGTTGAAGGCATTGTAGCAACCGCTAATGATATATTGTCGCTTGCTGCTGCAACGCTTAATGGCATAAATTATTGCACTAATGGTAGACCTTTTCAACCACTAATGATGAATCACCGCATAATGAAAGAATTATATCATAAAGCGGTGGAGCATGTCAATAGTTTATGACATTAATAAGCATTGCATTAATCAACTTTTTTATATGTTGTTGTCTAATCCTAGGAAAGATTTGAGAGATTGTAAAATGTGTACAGGGACAGCTACATTAGTTTTGGTCAAAGAGGAAATAAAAATTTGATCACCCAACATGCACTGGGAGACAAATTTTGTGTCGGAATAGACAGGGTGTCATATTACACAGTGTTACAATAATGGAAAATAGTAAAAAGGGAAAGAAGTAGAATGTTTTAATGCACAGTGTGTCGGACTGAAAAGGTGTCGGCTTTGACAGTTTTTACTTATCTTCTTTCCTATAAATTCTGACTTCCCCTGCCTAGTGGTAGCTAAAATGATTAGGAACTAAACGAATTATTATTAAGAACTTTCCATGCCTAGTGGTAGTTAAAATGATTAGGAACTGAATGAATTATTATTAAGAACTTTCCATGCCTAGTGGTAGTTAAAATGATTAGGAACTGAATGAATTATTATTAAGAACTTTCCATGCCTAGTGGTAGCTAAAATGATAGGAACTGAATGAATTATTATTAAGAACTTTCCATGCCTAGTGGTAGCTAAAATGATTAGGAACTGAATGAATTATTATTAAGAACTTTCCATGCCTAGTGGTAGCTAAAATGATTAGGAACTAAATGAATTATTATTAAGAACTTTCCATGCCTAGTGGTAGTTAAAATGATTAGGAACTGAATGGATTACTGTAGACGTATTTCTTTCCCCGGGGTTATAATTTCGCGGAATCTCATTTTCTGTTTATTCCGCGGGTAGAAAATTACGCGGATTTCTAAGACTTTCACTATAAGCCTTACAATTATATTAAGTATGCTTGGACAAATTTCCGCCGAAAATTTGTGATCGATCGCGTACATAGCATAAATTAATACCACACGGAAAAAAGTACTTCTACAGTATAATGAAGAATTATCACCATAATCAGAAACATTTACAGCAAATTCAATTCAAACAACAAGGAAATAATATACCGGTATTAAACATATCTAATTGCTCAAAATTTAATGAGTAGATGACTTTAAACACAAAGCATTTTATTTGTATTTCTCTAAGTAAATTACCAAAATAAGAAAACCACATCATTTGAAATGTAAAACAAGGGCACTGCAGAGCGAAGCGTCCTCTTGCAAAAAGAATACATGTATCTTTAAATCAACACAGCATTCAACATTCATTCCGATGCAAATTACATCACTTCTATTTCGTACATCAATAACTCACTCACAAACGAACACATTATTGCCTTACTAAATCCCCTCCAACTTTGTTGCGATTGGATAACAAATATATCACAGCGGTGAGATGGAACTCGGAATCACAACCTTTTGAGAGAGTCCTCCAGGAACTTGACCTGGTGTGGTAGGAAGCTGTTATAGACAGACAACACACGGTTTCTCTCCTTGAGCTTGGAGAGTACAGAGTGATGTCCAATAGAGTGAAGCTGGGGGTTGTACAGCTGACCTGGTGCTAAAGTCTCAGAGCCTCTATCTCTCACATACACAACAAAAACATCACCTGTATAAATAGAGTTATATAATTATAATGAATTTCTTAGATTCCTTGAGGTCTATTAACCAGAAGTCTCTGAGAAGATTGTAGCTCTCCTGATTTGTAACAAAATAAAGGGCGGGAGAAGGGGCACTTGGAAACTATGCAAAGCAATAATCCTTCATTTAGTTTATTTTTTGGTAGGATTTATTGCAATGAATCTATAAATGTATAGGAGAAGTAGTATTCTTAAAAAATTTTAGAAAAATTTTTATTTTATTAAGTAACCTTGACAACATTCCTCATAAAAGTAAAAAATGCTGTAAATATAAAATAATGTAGCATTTTGAAAGAATTTCACAGAAATTTCCATTTAAGTAACCAAGGAAACAGCACTCATTTAAAATGAAAAAAAAACAACAGCTGGTCCTTGATCAGTAGAGACTGTAAAGTTCAAATGTACAGAAACTTACATCCCATGTTGAGGAGTCCTTAAGTGGTCAGTCTGCGAGTGTTGTCGAACAAGAACTAGATTTTTTTTCATTCAAGCACAGAACTTTCTGTCAATTTTTTGTGTGCATGGATTCCAACAAAAAATGAATATGTTTATAATAATTTGTACAGCAAACATTCCCAGAAACTCGTTACACGGGTATGGATTAAAGGTATACAATTTCCAATAATGTCTATATTTTTTGTAAAACTTACAGCCCATTTTGAGGAGTCCTTCAGTGGTCAGTCTGCGGAGGTCACCTATTTCTGTCTCCGGGTCCTCCAGAATGATGTTCCTCTCGTTAAAGTCAACAAACACAAACGCAACCTTAGAGGGCTTAATTCTTAGGATATCATTCGAACATTGGATAGGGCAAGGCTATATAAAGATAACGTGAAAATCATAACCATGAATGTTTCTTTTGAGGGTGAGATTGTAGCTTTTATGCTACATAGGTATATATTATAATAAAAAAGTCTTTTTTAACTAGTCCATTGTTTATAGGATGCACACAATCTTGATATAGTAAAACTTAACAAAATTCTGTAGGATATCATTTTTAATATTACATTACAACAACATCGCAGTAAAATCTGAAATTACCGTTAATCCTTATATATATGAATAAATATGTTTAAAAGGAACTATGAATTCTTGTCCAAAGGACTTCTTAAGAAAAAAATGGTAATAGAAAATGAATTTTAATTGCTTTTTATCGGTGAGGTAAACATATTGACCTTTCATTAAACAATTGATAAATTACAACAGTACATACATGGACTTTTGTAGAAGTAGGCTTAGGGACTGCATCTATAAGGTTCATGTGAAACTTTTGTGAAGAAGAGTTGAAGCTTATGAGGCTTATCCCTGGCTCCAAAGTTTGTCTAGATATACCTTCAACAATTTCAGATGAAAACTAAAAGAAAAAAATGTTTGATTTGTCAGAATTGAATAGACAAATGATAATATAATGTTAACAGTAGAAAATAGTGGCAGATATGCAATGGTCAACAGTGTCTTTAATATACAAAGCGCCTGCAATGACCAGAAAGATCTCAGTATACATGTTTATCACATATTTCCCCCTTTATCCCGTTGATATAGCTCATGTGATATCGTTTTCGTATCAACACTATGTATTCCTACGCCGCGTGACGTAATATAAATAAACAAATACATGTGCATGATGGAGAGAATGACTTAATTTGTAAAGAAGAAGGTATGGTTTCCATACAAATTTTGCCCTGTGATTTTCTAAAAAATGAAACTGATGTAAAAGTTGAAAACTCATGCTTTTTAAAAAATTGAAATTCAATGCAGAAAAATCACACACGTCATTTTTCTCACATGTGTTTTTAAATGGTAATTATGACGTCATAAACAAGTGCATTTTCCCGTATTTTCTTAAAAAGTTGCAGAAGACACCAATTTTCAATGGAATTTTTTTCAGATAACAATGTCCACAGGCATCGCCCACAAAGATCTTGAGATATGTGATTTGTTATTGAATTTTGCACAAAATATCAAAAAATTAACATGGGCGACGGCTGTGGACACTGCTTTTTTTTTTTTTTTTTTTTTAAGGAAAATCTCCCTTGAAATTTGCCATTTTGAGGCTTTTTCTGTTGAAAATAGAGAAATGCTTCACATTAATGACGTCATATTTGCAGAATGGTAAACCCTCATGCCATATCCTTCCTGATTTATCAGAGTCATTTATTTAACTAATATTTAAGCCAGTTTCAAAACTTTGTGATGTCATTACATTTTTAGGGCGCAATAAAGCTAAAACCATACCTTCTTCTTTCACATTATTACGTTACTTGGTCCGAGGTAACCGAAAGGGAACTTTGAATTAGAAATAAAGACAAAATACACATTTAAAGTGAACAAAAATATGTGATAAAAAGAATCTCCCATGGTTTGTGGTTTGATATGATTTTATCCAACTCGTTGTGTTTTCTATCCCCTCGCCAAGGCTCGGGGATTGAAAAAACACAACTCAGTGGATAAAAATCATATCAAACGACAAACCATGGGAGATCCTATATATATGTATATTAAAATTCAAGCTTTAGTCTTTTTCTTAAAAACCTTCATTTAAACTTCAAAATTATGCTCAATATTGTTTTAATATTACCATTTCTTAAAACTTAGGTTAAAAAACCAACAACTTTGATAATATTCTCTTTATTATTTGCCCTTGGAAGGGCGCTTTGGTCCTTATTTTTTACAATGAAATATATGGAAATAGCGAAAATTGTTTAAGCTTTAAAGTCTATTTCAGCATTACAAAATTGGAGCAGAGCAAACATGGACCTCTAAATATTCTGAGGTGGGATCAGCTGCCATGGAGTGAGCAACCCCCGACATGTGCTCCTTGTCTTCATCGGGAAAAATCCGTCGATAAATCAGTTTGTATATAATGGCCTAACAATAAGTATGAAAAATCTCAGTCAGCATTCGACATTTTTTACTTGCTGACAAGGTCTTTGTATTGACAATGGAACTTACGAAATGGCGATTTTAAACGAGACTGCTTATATACTCTTGTTTCAGCAATTTCTTTGTTGTTAGAAATTGTGCATACATAGAGCATGCTCTTGTGTATCAAATCAACTGAGAGGTATAAACTCCGTATGCAGATGATCAAGGTATATTGCTGCATAAGTAAGGGTAATTGACGATACAAAAGTTAAAGTCGTCATGTTTATCATAAAGCTTAGTAGTTAGATAACCAATGATGTCTTTTTCAAGTTAAAAATCTAAATATGAAAGATGTGTCCGACTTTTTAAAGCATGAAACATATTATTTTTAGCTTCATGTTGAAACTTTTTAAATTAAATAATTATTTTAAGAGTTATATCCTTCCTGACTTAGGATCGGATGTCCTATTATAGCTGAGATTATAGTCAAGATTTTTTAATTTCTGAAATAATATGACAATAGAAATGTTGAAATCATCACGTTTATCATAGAATTGTGTTGTTAAGTAACTATTTATCTAGAGTAGTCAAGTACATGTATGTTCATTACCTTTCCTCCTACCCTTGGTTGCGTAGCAGATTTTCCTGCTGTCGGTTGATAAGAAAGTACTGGTGATGGTATCAGAAGTTTGTATGCAGTGAAAATGACAACCATGACCACCAGGAGCAAGAATCCCACAATGTACAGATCTTACAAAAAATAAACATATACTATTATATATATCTTATATTTGAAAAGTAGATGTAAAAGTGAATTTTGATAAAAGGGCATACTGATTGAAACTGGGATTAAAGAAAAGATAATAAAGAGACTTGTAGTAAAAATATTCTTTCCAGTAGTTTGTGTCATGTGCACCTGCATCATCACGGATGTTTAGAGCAAAGTAAATTTAAGGTTATAAAGAAAAAGAAGCTAAATGGAAGATCTATGTCAAGGAAATAAAATTACGTTTTAAATCTAAAAGTATTGTTGCAATCAGTATGCTAAGTTTGAAGTTCCGAAATTCTATTACTTCAGAGACACAAAAATATATGTCGAACTCTTTATCACAAGGTCAGTTATCCTTGTAACGTATGTATATCAACATGCCAAATTCCATATTGTTTAAAATTTGAATTTTGATTTTTAAACTTAAATGGTGAAAAATCATAAAAATCTTAAGCTTTGGTAAATAAATGTATCGTTCGTCCGTCTATCTTCTGGATGTTAGTTCAAAAGATAATTCTCGTTGGGATATTGTCTGATTTCAATAAAACTTGATGTATAAAAATATTAGAAAAACGTTATTTGTCTAAAACAAAAGACTTATAGCAAACATTCAAAGATCAATGGACATTGACTTTTTCAGAAATGTTTTGAATGTGACACTGATGCTAATATATACCCGGGTATATCCAAGCCCTAACTATCCAAGATGAAAGACAAAGTAGTAGTATCATATCTATAGCCTGATACTTTTCAAACTATACACGTATAGGACAAGAGACAGAAACTGATGAACGGACAAAAGGTAAAGTGATCCCTAATTATCGCACAGTTTAGCCGAGGATACAGTAAGGAAACTCACTGATATCATTTAGTTCAAGAGAGAAGTAGTCTAACTGCCCGTGAACCCCAGCCAGTTTGGATTCAATTTTCTCCTTTTCGTCATTAACTTTTTCTATAATTCTTTTCGTTTCTTTTTCAACCATTGTCACTCTTTCCTCGGTGCTATTAATTCTTTCTCTGACTTCCTTTTCTTTTTCTGTGGTATGCTTGTGTAATTCTTTTATTCTATCGTCCAGTTCTTTGACGTAAACCATTGTGGATTCAATATTCCTCTTTTCGGTATTAACTTTTCTGTAAATCGTCTTTACTCCTTCTTTAAATTTCTTCATCGTTATTTCTGATTTTTTCAATTTTTGATCGATGTTACTAAATTTTTCTGTATTATGTACGTTTAAATGGTTTATATTTTCCTCGATGTTCTTAATATCAGTCATTGTGGATTCAATTTTCTTTTTTTCGTCATCAATTTTTTCCTCAAACTCCCTCGCTTTTTCCTCAATTTCTTTGACCCTTTCGTGCCATTCATTTATACGTTGAATGGCTTCACGAAATTGTCTATCAATTGCCTTTTCTTTCTTCATAAAAGTTCTGTTGTTTTTATTTACATCCTCACCAAGCTTTGTACTGCTTGCATTAATTCTCTTAATAACAACAGATATTTCATTCTTGTATTCAACAAATTCCCCTTTTTGGTCATAGATTTTCTTGTCAATCTCATCATAGAGTTCTTTTAATTTCTTCGATAAATGATTTTGAAGAATTTCTAAATATATGAAAAAGAATTTATTATCAAAAGTTGTAACACTTACAAGCTCCATACATCAGTAAAAAGCATGTGCACGAGCTAGTCAATATAAAAAGTGTATATACTAGTTGTATTAAAAATCAAATCTTTCAATTTACAGGTAACTTGAAAATTACTTATAGTGATTTTTTTCCATAGAATAATGCATGGTGTGAATTGATATACAATTGCACATGTATATAAATGCAATTTGTTTTATGACATCAGTAAAAAAAAATCTCATTTTACCTTCAGATAATCTTCTTTCGTTATTTATTGCACTGTTATTCTTCTTCACCTCTTCATAAAAACGACTTATATCTCGCTTCACTTCTAGCATCTTTTCTGTGAAATTGGCCTCAAGTTGCATTAGATGTTGCGTTTCTTCTTCTGTTTTGTTAGCGTAGTTCTTTTGCGAAACGTTAATACTTTGTAACAATGTATTCTTGTCTTCTTCCAATTCAGTTATATTTTTAATCATACGCTCCAAAGTTTTGTTACAATTTGACAATTCATTCACCCATGCCTCCGTTTCCTTTCGTCTGTCTTTGACATAACTGTGGAATTCGTTGTGTAATAGATTTAAATCATTAACAACGTGTATGTTTCTCTCTGACACATCAGCCTCTTCTCGGCCACAGATTAAAGAGGAATCCTCGGAATCTGTTTGTAATGGAACTTTTTGATACGATTGCGGTAAAATGGTGATGTTTTGATGCAATAAATATGTAATCCCACATATCTGAAAACTGTAAAAATGAAATTTGCGAATGTATTATGCGTATAATCAAACGACAAACATATCTTGTTATATCATCTTATACATGTACCTATTCGCTTAACTGAATAATGATTTCCAAAAGATATTACAAAAATGGATGACAATAATTTGCTTAATTGTACTTAATTTTTCTTTAATCAACAATATTTTTTTCTTTTCAGTTTTATGCCTCGTTTGTATTTATTAATTTACAATGTAGGGTACGATAATTAATTTCATATGCTGAACATCTTAAACAGTCAAACAAATCCAATGATTTGAATATTTCTTTTATTATTCAAAACCTCTGGCTTGATATATATTGTTGAGCACCACTTCTTTAGAAGATTTTTTTTTAACGAGAATACATGTACTTACACATGTAATACTCCTACAATGAAAATCACTATCCGTAACTTTTCGTCTTTCCATATTTCAATAGAGGATGTTTTTACTCCTTCCTCAGTTTTACTTCTATTGTCTTTAACCGCAGACAGTTCCTGAAAGTCCTTCCTGTCTGCTAAATTATCATTGCAACACAAATCATTACTAGAGGATTCAGCTTTTGTTTCTTTGTCATCCTTTTCACCACGTACTCTTCCTTTCTTGCTCTTTCCAACCATTTTTGAATAAGTATTACATTCTCATATGTTCTTCTTTTTTAAAAGAAAAAAGTATACACTTCAGTCGTGAATTTAATTGTCAGATTTCATATCATTTAAAGATTATTCGAAAAATATTGGTAGTACTAGTATCGCCCTTATTGAACAATCTTCGCACATAAACTAATCTTATGTGAAAGGTAGACTTTTAAAAATAATAATGTTTTACCGATCTATGAAAATAATGAATAATGTATGCTTCAATCGTCGGAAGCTCCCGATTTAATACAGTATGCTCGGGCTGCTCATATGTTAAAAGGCGGGAAGTCGCCGATTACTACTTTTAAAAACGTGTGTACAACAGCGAAACAACTTCATTTTGCCTGAGCACTTTAAAAGCAAGATAACATTATTATCACAGTACTGTATTATCGGTAAAGTTTGTTAAATATTGAATGCATATCACTGAAAGTTGGTCAACTCTATAATGCACGTTCTTTATCGATATAAGAGAATAAATCAAAATCATTTTCACAAATCGATTAAAAAACATGTTTAACATACGTGTGCATTTTCTTGACTGAAAGTGTCACGTACCTTTTGAGGAAGAACATTTTCGACTTTTTCTCATGCAAAATAGGTGTTGTAACATCCTTTCATAAGTTACTGGTGAAATTAATGCCAGTTCAGAATTGGTCCGTATTTTCGAAGAATTTTAACATTTTAACATGAATAGACATCGACCAACTCATAAGTCGTAAGCATATAGTTAGTGAATACAAATATAACAATTAATAATCTATGAAGCTTACCTAAACATGCTTAATTTAATACAATATTTTAAGCCCTCAAATTTTTTATCCTAAACGACAATGATTTTATAAAGAAGAGCCCTCCTATTCAGAGTACCTGATTTGGTGCAGCGTACGTGGATCTAATCAACTTTCAGTTTAGTCCGTTGGGGGAAGGGGGGCTTGAATTCTAATACTACTTGAGAATGCCTTCATATCAATTCTGCATATAAATTCTTGAGAAAGTTATTGAGAAAAAGATTTTTATAGATTTTTTAACATTTTCTTTGCATATATTACCTTGTAATAATCTGAATTTGACTCCCCATCATTTCCCTTCCTACCCTAAAGGGTACTCAGGATTTGAAAAAAAATTAAATCTTCAATACATGAGGATGCTTACATGTCAAAATGACTTAACATAGCTTTTCTGTTATTTAGGTTTTTCCCATTATTTTCTTATGTAACACTTTGATCCACCATTGAGACCACTTCCTACCCTTGAAGGTTATGATTCGAACAATTTAATTCTACACTAGGTACCCGAGGAAGCGTCCATATAAATATAATCATGGCTTTGCTATTCTTTAGAAAAAGATTTTTTAAAAATACATTTTATGTAAAACTTGGATCCCCCATTTTGGCCCCACCCTATCCCTGGAGGTTATGATTTGAACAAACTAGAATCTACAGTATCCAAGGATGCTTCCATAAAAATATCACTTATTATGTTTTAGCAGTACTTGAGGAGAACAGTTTGAAAAATTTCCCTATATATTCCTCTGTAAAACTTTGATCGGCAATTGTGGCCTAACCCTAACCCGGGGACCATGATTTGAACAAATCTGAATGTACACTACATGAGGTTGATTCAACATGAGTTTCATCTTTCCTTTCCCAAAGGTTCTTGAGAAGATTTTTCCTACATATTTCTATGTAAAAGTTTGATCGGCCATTGTGGTCTAACCCTACCCCTGGGGGTCATGATTTAAACAAACTTGAATGACTTGTACAACATATGAGGATGATTCAACATGAGTTTCATCTTTCCTGTCCCAATGGTTCTTGAGAAAATGATTTTTAAAAATTTTTCCTATATATTCATATGTAAAACTTTGATGGGCCTTTGTGGCCCCACCCTACCCCCTGGGGCCCTGC